CTAGAGCGGTCCTTTGATGTAGATTCAGTTGCGAATCTGCCAGAATGAGGTGAAGAATTTTGTACATTTTAGAGCTGGTGAGGGATTAGAAGCATTGTTAGCAAAAAATTGTGATACTCGTACATTGAATTGCCCTGATGAAGATGACAGAAGGTCATCGAAACGTCGGCATGAAAAATAAATGGTTGTGATAAAGAACTTTGCTATTCAGTCGTTTACCAACCTGATGAAATTATTTACGGAGGGATACTCATACATTTCAGACAAAATTTGTGTTGTCTTTGATAAGATTACCAACGCCCTGTATGACTCTTTCCAGATCATTTCTGTCTTCGACAACGCCCCCCCCACCACACACACATATATACTCACAGACAAGTTGGAGCCAACTATGCAAACGACGTCATTACGGGAGTTTAGATCTAATACGTTCTCTTGCCTAAATCCCTTCCTGGTATAATTGCTGATATATCCTGTCTACATTGGTCTTTGTAGTCTGACAACATTTTGCTTTTCTTTCACGTCATGTACGTAGCAAACTACTAGTCTATTCTGGACCGTCCATCATTGAATCTTTCCCAGTTATTGATACTATTAGGAATTTATTGTTGCTTCTGGATTATCTACACGCAGGGCATCACAATAAATCATGCTAATTTTTGACAGAACATCAGCTTTTGGAAACTATGTCTTCATATAATAAAGATAATGTCTTTTTATATGAAGGTTATAGCACATGGTCACAGAATGAATGAATGAATGAATGAATGAATGAATGAATGAATGAATGAATGAATGAATGAATGAATGAATGAATGAATGAATGAATGAATGAATGAATGAATGAATGAATGACTGGTTTATTTGATCAACATCAACATGATCCTTAAAAAGTACATCGCAGCCAAATAAAGTGGCTGAATTACATACTTTTCACATAAAGAGTTAGGCTATATACAAATTGGCATTTGGTTCAAATGATATAAAGTGAAAGCATGTAGATAATTTAGCTGCAGAAAGTGTCGTCGGCAATGGTACATACACATCAGCAGTATGAACCGTGTGTGTCACCAGCCTTTCCGCAGCTCTAATGACAATAATGACAAGATTCTGAGGCGATTTTCTAGCTTGCAATCCGGGGGAATTTCGGTCATACATGAAAAGAAATTGTGAACTAGCATGACCTTATTCCACAAATGATTGATAGATTGAAGCAAATAGGTCCTGGCAAGCAGCAGACAATGATATGGGAAATTGCACCGAAAATCAACTTATATAATAGAATCGTTTTACAGTAAGCTTTAGGAAAGGTAATTTCAGCCACAATCAATGCCAAAGTGTATGTGCTGGTTTTGTGTGAGCCCATATGCCGTATTGTGAATCGACCCTAGCAAGGCTCGGACTTCACAAAGGTTTTGGAGGTTTACTGAACTGTCTTTAAATATGCTTCCCTGTGTTTGGCTCAACTTCGGCGTTTGTTAATTTGACATATCTATAACAGCATTGCTAAAGCTGTAGGCAGACTTTTAAAAACTTTTGAAATGGATGTCCTGGCAAAAATTATTACGTGACCAATGACGTCACCCATACCGAGACCATTATAAATCATAGACTCATTAAAACCAAAATCAATAGACGTGACCTAAGTCAGAAGTAGTTAATAATACAGTACTGAATTTGTTTTTAATCTTTGAAAAAAAGGCCACTAAATGTGATACGCGTCCCGCATCATGTACGTACTTATTAAAAGGTTAACCTTCACAAATCAACCGGTTTTTATATTAATTAATTGTTTAAAGAGGCACCGGAATCACACGGCATCTTACTCTGTTGTGTTGGCCTAATCTATCCGCATTACAACGTTAGCGGCTGAACCACCGATGATAAACAGAAGATTGCACTAAGGTCGATACGCCGTGCTGTTATTGAAAGAAATGAGTGAATTTGGAGCCATTGCTGAGCCCTTAAATCGTGAATTGATTGCTGTCTAAATCCTGTGACGGTGCGATGTGTATACATGGTTTAGCTCCAAGTTCTGTATTGAGAAACGGATCGATGGAGGAAAAACGCACCATTGATGGACTCTAGTTCTACAGGATGTATTACAGAGAATGATGACGAACCTCCTATACCACATCTCCTCATATCCAATGTGATCATCTTGTAATACTGCCATAATCCCAGATATGTGACTAATGTGCCCAGCTAACTACATCTAGATCAATAAACTCTATGTGCGTCATGTTTACCGGCATTTAGAAACCATCACGTCGTAGTCTAGTATTCTCCTCAGTAGCCAAATATTCCTGTCCAAGGCACACGTACAAACACGCAGTCACCAGGAGAACTAGATAATGGAAAGATATCATATTCTATATCGCGTTATGTCCTTCAAGTTGAACAATCGATTGTTCCCAAGCGATAGGACATGCGCCTATGGTATCTGTCCTGAAAAGCCGCTTCCAGGACAGACAGATTACAATGAGTATTGTAGCCTCATGTTCTAGACTGTGTTCTAGCAGAATTTTGTCATGTTATATTCCTGTATGTAAAGAACAAATACAAAAACGCAGATTTGAAACATTGCATTTTGGATAATGACTGCTATGGAAAACCTCCTCCATATCTTATCTTTAGTATCATTCTTATTCTTATTCTAGGGCAAAGTTTATCATATTCAAGATATAACCAATGGTACCTTTTTTTCTAGGGCCGTCAGTGAATGTTTCCTGTGACATCTACGTCAACAGTTTTGACTCAATCTCAGAAACAACCATGGTAAGTCTGAAAAGCCGCATTAAACTGGTTTTGCATTACAAACACATATCCGTGTCCATGTCAGACCACCGTCTGCACATCTCAGACAGAAATGTGGGCGGAATATATGCGGAGCATTACGTCACGAAGCCGGGCTTTACGTGGCGACGCTAACCAAATCTGCGTTATCCTAACCTTACACTTAGGCACAGACCCCGGGTTGGCCTTGGCTTCAAAGCGCTATTCTGCATCAAGTCGTCAGTTAAACGCAGAGACGGGGACCTGAAGCTTTTTGTGAGAAATCGTGCACGGGAAGTAAGCAGTAGATGACGCCAAGATGGCGGCACCCTAACAGGGCAGCCCGGGAGATAACGTAAAAGAGCCGAATGTCTGGCGTAAGTTGGCAGAATGTCCCGGACGTGTCTCCTCTGTACGTATGCGGAAATATATGTACATAGGAGACACATCTATCATACCACAAATCAAATAAAAATAAAAGTCATCTGCTAAGTGAACATCCCAGAGTACCTGAAATTCCTGAGGGGAAAACAACAGATATAGAGCCAAGCATGGGCATGGGCATGGATTCGGATTACAAAGATAATTTTGCAACATCAGCAGGATTGCAAAATGAAGTGCGCGTAATGTAATATGCATCAGAAGTAACTTATTTTCTCAAGTCAGCTAATATCATGTTTTCATCTTGTATGATATTATATATTGACAGGAATACGGCTGGGAATAGGAATACCACAACGTGATATCAAGTAGCATTGGAAATTCATAGAATTGGTACTAGTATAAAAAGTCATTTTTATGACTTAGCATCCTATATGGTCACATTTGGGGCACCGTAGTCTCTAACATCTCCCAAACCGAGCAGATGCGTGTCCGAAATTTTCATATTGATATTCTGATCGACAAACATTTCTGCCATTCTGTTTACTTAAACAGATTGGCGCCAATGCCAAGAAACTTTCAGGTTGATTGATTGAATTGGTGGAGGGGGGGGGGGGAGGTCGGTTAAACTCAATCAAGTTATCAAGATACCAAGAGTCGGTAGTTGACTTATTTTGAGTACGAGATGATTCTCAAAATGGTTTACTAAAACACCTAAAATTACTCTGACATCATGTTTCAAAGATTATATAGCACTTAAATCTTAAAAGAAACACACTGGAGCATGATAATTGCCCAACAATGTCGGCAGAGAGGCATCAGCCCGCCCTCCCCACCTCTAATGTAATTATTCAGGTGTTACTTTTTTAAGAGCTAAAAACTGTCTATGTTATACAAAATGCATACAAATTATGTATACAAGGTGCTTAATGCAACCTAAGGTATCATCCACCAGTAGAAATATTCATGGATGGTTTGTTTAGGGTACGATATATTACGGATTGAAAGAAGTATCCAACTCACACAAAATATGGTCAGCCATCTTCCTGACCTCTGACCTCACCGTCACAGTCACGAAATTTCGTCTGAACCGCCAGTCACCTTTAGCCATAGCCAAAATAACGTTTAAACGAAGAAACAAAGTACATAACATAGTACTGTTTGTTAACAGGGCCCTGCCATTAGTTACTTTTCAGTTATACTGATTTTCAGTTATACTGATCTCTGTTAACTTTTCTCAGTTATGTGACTTGATTGTATAATTTACTTTTATACAAATTGCTTTATGTTGTGTTTATGTTATGTTATATTGTTTATGTGTCCCTGGGCCCTCTTGGAAATCAACAATTTTACTGTTGTAGAGGCTACCCAGGTGTTCATAAGGAAATAAATAAAAACTAGTGGTAGAGGGTATGGGGTTGTCCCACTTTAACGTTATAACGTAAACTAAACTAACCTACATAACGTTGTTCCAGCTCAAAACTGCTTGCTATGGAATGCATACCCTGAACGGAAGCAAGTCTCCATATTCAAGTATTCACCCAGTTCCGCGCATCCCTGTCCTATCCTGACCCCTATCAACCTTCTGATTAATTCTACTTAATCGACGTCCAAAATTTGATTACATCAGAGACATTAAATGCGGAACCCCCGGCATTTATCACTGATAATAGATGGTAATCGCACAATTGTCGATAGTTTCCTCCGGTGACAGATTGCAATTAGGCGGCCCCAATAATTGCATGTTTTGTGTTGACAGCCATCAAAAGATCGAAAGATTAACCCGTCTTTACTCTTGCATAGTTTGTATTGAGCAGAGATTCCAGGTGAGGATCTGGGGCGGATATGACGTCATAGTTGGCATAGGATAACTCTTCATGAATCCGAATATCCCCATGCGCAATGTAATCTCGCAATTAGTTTGGAACAAACAAGCAATTATACTTTTACATTTAATGACTGGGTACAAAATGTTAATACCATGGAGATTTGATTTTATCCATTAGAAATTTACTTTGTAAGTATTGAAAAATTTAAATTCCAACAACGTTCAATGATTTCTGTATTCTCCTCCGGAAGGGGAGTCCGACATAGTTCAATGCCATATAAACAAATTAATCATCTATCTTGATATGATAGCACTGTAAATGACCACTCCTTAGCGAGCTGGGGAAATGTATTCAAAGATTCATTTTATATGGCCAAAAATGAAGAAATTTAACGAAAAGGAAGGAGAAGGGGAAACACGAGAAAACACAATATGTTTCACCACACATAGTGTATTGAAGCCATAAAAATCACCACGTAGCCTAATCATCTGGATAAAACTTCCATTCATATTAAGGGTTAGTGACAAAAATGTAGTCGATCGTGTAAAAAGGACCCGCATATCACGTCTATGCTCTTGAAATATTGTATAAATCTATAGAGAGGAGCCTTTATGTAATACTCCAGATTGACTTGAATCCAAATCGCATGATAAGCGAACCCAGACGAGGAGTATCGAGCGCACAACGAGATGAACTCTTAAAATGCTAGGTGTGTATAATTCTGTCGGAGAGCGCGGTCCGGCCGACAGGTAATTTCGGGGTGAATGGCGCGGAGCTGGCAGAGACGGACGATGTGGTCATGGCGGGGGGAGCGCGGGCGCGACCCGAGCAACAATCGCTTCACGTTATCTCCGAGAGGAATCTCTTAACCTGACGGCTGGAGTATGAAGTCTTTGTGCAAGCGTTTCCAGAAATAAGTCGGCGATCCATCTTATACCCTACGTAAGGGTGAACAATATATTGAGATATGACTTGCAGATCAGGAATCATAGAACTATTTATACAAGTGTACACAAGCCTTCTGTTAAATGATACAACGCCGCGGAAGGCATTTCAAAGGCATCTTTGAAATAAGTTAGCCTGGGTACCATCTTGGTTAGTTTACGTCCGCTCCCACAGTTGGTGGTAGCGACTGTGGGAGCGGACGTAAACTAACCAGGATGGTACCCAGGCTAGAAATTATAAGCACAGTAAAAGGGAAATCTAAACAAAATTACTAATTCTATCTACTTAAACTTATATTTGAAGTGTACCTCTTTGTATTCGACCCCTCAGATTTGAAAAAAATGATACTTTTATGCTTCATTTTGTACTTGAAAATTGATACGACAAAACTAATAAGAGACGAATTGGTGACAGCATATTTTATTTCGATAATTCAGATAGTGAATTACTTAGACTTATTTCCTCCCGTGCATAGCACATTGGGCAGTAAGTTTCCTCCACAGATAGTGAAGAAGAAACAAATTGAAAGAAGAACCTCGGTCTTGCGTTGTACCCACAACGTGACGAATCACATATCATAAGCACACACAATTACACAGCACTTATAAGCCATTGGTTAGACATGTAATCCCGCCATATTTCTGCTGATTATCGTTCACCTTCGATAACAAGGCAATCGTGAGCTGGGTCATATTTCTTCGCCACGAAATTGTGGAATGAATTCCGCCGGGGCGCATTCCGCGTCTCGGTGGACTCGCGATATTTCCCGCCACCTGTGATCCTAGGGGTGGTTTTTCTTCCACATACATCACCTTCTGTCACTGCACATCTCTCAGGATAGACGGGGAAACAACGCATATGGCCGCCACTGACAAGATCTTACGGTGATCGGAAATATCGCCCTTTTTTTTCTCTCCATCTATTTCACACGGCAACATCATTCACAGAGTCTCCCTCTCTACATGAAACGGTAAAACTGCCGGGCCCTCGGGGCTTCTACCTCTCCACAGAAAGGTACTCCCGCGTAATGTAAAGGGTTTCTAATAGATCTTTCCTTGAAAACTGGATTTCTAAGAGCCTGGTGTCATAGTTCCCCCTCAACAGACGAGTAGAGAATGCTAATTAGGCTGCAGATAAACAAGGAACAGAATGGTTTTAAAGATGGAGAAGCTACGCAAAGACAATGAGCTCAGGGATGCCACTTTCGCACTTACAAGTTTATACTTAAACTATCACAACACAATATACAATCTACATCAATGTATTTCAACTTCCCAACACCCCCACACCAGTCTTTGGATCTCTAGGAGATTTAGTTTGCTGACATCCGATTGCTCCTTTGTAGGAATACTTGCACGAATATTTGCGAGGAGTATCAAAGACGGACGAACTCAATGGTGAATATTCTAAGTTCTGTCGTTAACAATAGCTTTGTAAATCGTTTCGTGTTGCGATCTACGGGCAAAAGCTTTTCATCTTTCAAGTTATGATATCTAGACATCGATTGATGCCTTCATCGTTGAAGGTCAGGCCCTCAAAGAGTACAATGGATTGTGGAGTAACCGATTAGTCCTCTAGGTCGTCCCGTGTCTAATAGATGCGCGCCAGTGCCAAGTTTTGCGCCAAGTTTCTCATTGATTTTCGTCGCTTGGAGCGAACTTTTGGTCTCACGGTTTGATGGTGACATGACAACTTTAGAAATTGTCAGCTATGTTTACGTACTGCTGTGATGACATCTTTGCTGAAGTCTACTGCAGTCTTTGCTGAAGTCTTTGCTGAAGTCTACTGAAAACATTCATGCAATCTCAACTGTCCACTCTTTCAGCGTAACCGAAAAATCTTCCCCATACTCGACAAAGATACAAAGATAAAACAAATTGTTTTATGATCTCTATTGCTGCATTGTTAACAAATATCAGTTAATGATAATACTAACAATACGGAAACGTATGCCACCGCATTTTTCTATTGAAAAGTCAGTTGAAACATTGATCATTGGGACTTAAAAAGTTACCATGTTTGACACATTTATCCAATTTATTACTGATGGCCGATTTTATGTTAGTCACCTCAAATAGAATAAATGGCCAGCCGTGGCATTGTGGCCTGTAGTCTCCACAACGACGTCATTTATAATCTTTATATCTAGCAGATATTGCGCCCTTGGGGCAAAATAAATGAAAAGTTATTGATGAAGAAATTTCATGGAATGAATTTTTCCAAACTCAAGTGATATGTTTTGTAGATGGAATCGATATTCCCTTTCATGCAATTCCAATATAACACCTTATGACAGCAAGCACTTTAGCCGGGTTCACCGATGCCCAACCTTTGACCTAATTGATGAAACATTTGCGATGCGATGCAACGCTCGTAAATATATCTCACACACACGTACAGGTGCCGATGGCATTTCTGATACCGCGGAGATGGAAGTAAGAAGAAGTTATTATTATTAAGGTCCCGGGACAGCAGAGCGATTAGCGTGACTGATATTCTCTTGCGAAGAAACTAATTCATTCTGATACTGATCTCGAAAAAAAAGTTGAGATGAAGACGCTCCTAGGATGTTAAATGCCCGAGCAAAGGAAACCAGGGAAGTCAATGAAGTAGGTCCAGGCAGCTAGACACCCCCACCCACTCTGTACATCACTACACCTACCCGTAATGCTTGACGACGGCGAGGTCTTGGCCGTATCTTCGTTCGCTGCTGACTGGACTTGCCAACAGCTCTACGATGTTGTGACCCTTTGCGTACAAACGACAGGTTGATCTTGATTCCTATCGGTTAGGGCGGGACAGAATCCAAATGCATCGTCTGTGAACTCACAACAGCACTTAGTGCCATTCACATTTCTATCCACTTCACATGGAAAGTTGAAAGGTTCAGATGCTCTCCTATGGTCCCGCCTCTGTGCGAGTGGTCTGTCGATGATGTCCATGGTCTGAAGGGTTGTGAGTAACATATACTCGGACTTGTGACTTGATAAAAGCGCCCTTTCAGCGTAGGCTTTCAATTGGCGAGGAAAGCAAGCTGCAACTGGGTTTAATGTGACTGGTGATGGCCTGGCCTGTACGTTAAATGGCAGTCATAATCCGTTAGATGATTGGTGTAACATTGATTTATTCCCTACTGGCAGCTTCCAATGAATTGTCAAAACACACAGATTATATCGCTTCAACATGCGTTTTCTCAAGTCCCTTTGTAAAGAACAATCAAAGTCGTATTGAAACACATAGTAGAAACAGTACAAACAAGAAGAATTCAATAGGACAATGGTTATTCATATGTCGAGCTTTGAAATGCAATTCTGCTTTTTGAGTAAATAGACTCTTTTTACACAACCAAGACGTTTATTCAGCCGACGTTTCGGTGAGCGTCCACCACTTTCCTCAGGGCAGTTCTGACTGGTTCACATTGCACTGCAGCACAGGTGTCGCTGCTACAGATGCATTCCCAAACGTGCAGTATTTACATATCTACACATATGCGTCATTACAGGGAGTTGTATCTACAATGCGGTCCCAAACGTACGGGTGTTGGATATATATATATATATATATATACAGAACTGCCCTGAGGAAAGTGACAGATGGTCACCGAAACGTCGACTGAGTAAAAGTTATCTTGGTTGTGTAAAAAGAGTCTCTTTACTCAGTGACTTACTAACCTGATGAAACTATTCACAAATTCTCTTTTTTTTTGTAGGACTACCGGTTAAACATCTTCCTGCGTCAGACATGGAGGGATACCAGACTCGCGTTTGAGGAAAATGAAGAGATGGGATACAGCGACAGCGTGAGCCTGGATCCAAGTCTGCTGAAGAGAATATGGGTGCCGGACACTTTCTTCACCAACGAAAAGGGTGCCGAATTTCATCACGTGACGACAGAGAACAAACTCTTGAGGGTTAACTCCAAAGGAGAAATATTATACAGTATCAGGTAAAATACACCTACATATATTCTCCATACGAAAATTGACCTGACTTAACGTTGTTCTTTCGTCATTGAAGGTTAGGCATCCAGGTAATAAGATACGCCAAAAAGCAGTTACTCACAAGCAACTGGATATGGTTAAGGAGACGGTCAGACGTTTCAGGTAGTATCCACTACCTTTCGTCAGTGACTCTAAGAGACCAGAGGAGAAATTCAGGTTTATAAGCACGAACAATTGATTGATATGTGCAATTTGACTCAAATTTAACTCAAACTCAATTCGACAAGTAGGCGTTGCCTACATCTGGTCAGACTACTGCCGAACATTAGCCAACCTTGGTCAGCTGGTAGGTTCTGAATATGTGACAGGGGCTTAGGTTGGACTTTATTTCTTTGCTCCTCGTCATGTACATTTGTACATTATGACAAAAGGGTTAAACGTTCAGACCAACACTGAGTAAAGTGGGACACCCAAATTTTCGGCCGACTCCATCGACCTTGTTCACGGAATGGACCCGTCTACTGCAGCTTCCGGGACGTGACGTCAGAAACATGTACTTACAGCAGAGGTTCGTACGTGTCAGATAACCTGTGTCGCCCCCCGTCGTTTAACCCTTTCTGTCATAATGAATTATACCAACACAGATGAACTTTCATGCTACATTTGTACATTATTGTTTTATAGAAGTGCAGTGCTATGTGACATGACATTCTCACATCCCTCCCCTCCAGGTTAACGCTAACACTCGCCTGTCCGATGAAGCTGCAGCGGTTCCCGATGGACCAGCAGGTCTGCCCGATGAAGCTGGAGAGCTGTGAGTAATACATGGATTCAAAAGTTTCTCACGTATCTAACGTTCAACTTCAACGCTTTGTCGTAGATGGTTGCGATAGAGTTGTGTAATACTGTAAGATGTACCAGTGACATACATCATACGACAGATTTGTGACAGAACATCGGAGACATTTTCAGAATTTTTCGTACATATCAATCAATCAATCAATCAATCAATCAGTCGTTCGCAGGCAACTGAGTCTGATGCATAGTGGCTGCAGACATGCATAGGTCTCGGAAGTCCGTACATATAATCATTTTTACCTGCATATTTGAACTTGATTCTACTACATTTTCTCCGTTGCAGATTGCCGGATATGGTTCGCAGAGCACCATCATCTAATATTTGCTTCAGGACCACAGTTATAAATATCATCTCACCTCTTGTTATTTCATTCTTCATTATCTCAAACACCTACCAATCCTCTTTGTGAGCCTCCACCTTACCGTAAAATTCATTTAGTAACTTTTTAATTTCATTTCATAACAAACTAAAGGTTAAAATGATGTTGATCACCATCATCTGAAATACTGACAGGGTGAGGTACAGTATGCCTTTGGCGGTTGTGCTTAATGGATGTTCACCTGAATTTTTACTTCCAGATGGGATGACAACGGACGATATGAGGCTACAGTGGAACTATTTAAAGAAGAATGGGGAGGAACAGAACCCTGTCCAAATAGCGGACGACCTGGAGCTCCCACAGTTCAGAATCGTCTCGATACGTTACACGCAGTATACTATGGATTACAGCACTGGTATGTAGAAATGCTGCAGTTCCCTTGCTTTACGCCTGGTGCCTTTGTGTTGCAGACGGCATGACGACCGACGACGTTCGACTTGTATGGAAAGATACAGACACGCCTGTGGCTATTGCGGACGACCTGGTATTGCCCCAGTTTGCAATCACCAGCATAGTAACGACCCAAATGATAATGGAATACAGCACAGGTACTGACGCACCCCTGACGATTGTTTTTCACGTTACATATGAGGTGGTATGGAGTACATGTCAAAAACATTGTCCTCACAACATTGTCCTCATAGCAATACCAATGAATGTTGTCATTTCAAGCCACCTCAGCACGTTTTAACAAACATGAACCCCCATCATTTCAACCAAAGCCACCATCTGATATTAAACGAATCTGTAAGTTTTTTCGTAACAGTAATCCCCTCGTCTGTACCAAGTTTGGTGTGAATGCAACGTATAAAGCTGAGGAAATGTATCCATTCTTAAATTTTTCTTTCATCGTAACTAAAACATTTTATTCCAACAACAAACATGCGAAACAGTTTACTTTTTTTTAGAATTTTCACACCGTGCGGAAATGAAAACAAAGAACCAAAAGCATAGCATAAATGTTAACATTGTGTTGACATGTTTAAGTTGCTGTGTGCCTTTTTTGTGTTGTGTGTACTTGCGCGAGTGTGTGACACAGAGACAATGCTTACTTGTTTTCTCACTCTTGACATCTCCTATATACATAAGACACACATGTACATGTACGTAGCACTGTACTTGAAATGTGTACGACAACACGAGGGACTGGTCACGACAACATCTATGACATGTCAGGCTGCAACCATTGATCCCTGTGGATCACATTTTAAGTTTGAGTTAATACTTTAGAAAATGATATGATACTATGTGCTATGCTCACCACCCATTACTTTCTATAATCTTTGATTAATACTGAAAGAAATATATGAGTCAACGAAGGTTAGGCATCCAGGTAGTGAGAAATACATGAAAACTGTTATTCATGGCTCAAGCATTTTGACACCTCTCAGACGTTTAATATAGCATCCATTACTTTTCATCAGTGACTCGTGGAAAATATAGCTAGCTAGCAAGATAAATATATGCTTGGTAGATAGATGTATGGATAGATAGATAGATAGATAGATAGATAGATAGATAGATATTCATTTCAGTTATTTATATTTTGTTATGCATGGACTACTTCATCTAAAGTTGTATATAATTTGTCATTACTCTCTGAGTCCACATTTTGTTTACTTCATTGTTAATTTGATTTTCAAAGTGTTTGGATGCATGTTATGTTTTCCAATCACTTTCAGTTATATCATTTTCTATTATTTTGACCTCTGACCTCCCATTCAGTTCATTTTAAGTTCTATATGCTGAGTTTGGTTAATTATCCTTTGTTATCTCAGGATAAATCTTTGTTATGAATTTATTATTATTATTATTCCGTTATTTATTGTTTATCTTAATTTATGTTTGATTGATTTATTATTGTTTTTACTATTTTTGTTTAGTTAGTTGGACTCCAGGAAGAGTAGTGTAAACTTTATGTATTACACTAAATGGAGATCGAAATAAAACAAACAAACAAGATAGATAGATAGATAGATAGATAGATAGATAGATAGATAGATAGATAGATAGATAGATAGATAGATAGATAGATAGATAGATAGATAGATAGATAGATAGATTGACGGATAGATAGACAGACAGATAGCAGCAACAGTAGCTAGTCATACGAAGTTTCTCAGTCCAGTCACGGTCTCCCACGGATGACGTACGAGTCGGATTTGAGATAACAGCCTAGAGGATCTTCTCGGCTTTCTCTAATGTCAAGTAATAGCTTAGTGGGCGGAAATACCGCGGACAGGGGCAGCATAAAGACCGGACTCTGGTATTTTTACCGCACTTGTTGCGTGCGATAAAAGGAGGGCGTCTTCACTCCCTAAGTCCCCGGGATAGGATGAAAATCTACTACAGAAGATAATGTACTTACTTCATTAACTCTGCCCATGATTAAAACAACCGACCGTTTGGTAAGACTTGTTGTGTGGGCTGTCCGAGGTCTGTGGCAGTGAATAACAAATATATCTTACTGCAGTTGTAACTCTTCAGCACGAAATAACAGTTTACATTACGTCTTAAACTTTACTCTGCAAAGGTTGAAAAAATAGAATATTTGAAATGCAACCCGTATAAAATAACCAAAAAATACATTCATTTAGCAACGCGACACAGACATATTCAATAATGAATAAAACCTTCAGTCGGTTTCGAACAACTCCAATTTTGTTTGTTTGTTTGTTTGTTTGTTTGTATGGGTTTATCATTTTTCTCCTTTCCCTTGACTAGGTTCGTACTCCAGGATGAGGGCAGAGTTCACCCTGGAGCGGCAGATGGGTTACTACATGATTCAGACCTACGTTCCCACAATCCTTATCGTCATCCTGTCCTGGGTCTCGTTCTGGATCAACATCGAGGCTGCGCCTGCGCGCGTCGCGCTTGGGATTACCACCGTGCTCACCATGACAACGCAGAGTTCAGGGTCCAGCGGTGCCAAGCCGAAAGTCTCCTACGTCAAGGCCATCGACATCTGGATGGCTGTGTGTCTTATGTTCGTCTTCGCGGCGTTGATAGAGTTCGCCGCTGTCAACTTCGCCTCCAGGCAAGACAAGGAGGTGGCCAGAAGGAGACAGAAGATGAAGCAAAAACAGGAAGAAAAGGAAAAGGTAAGTACGTGTGAAGCTCGGGGATACATTCAACATTTGATGGCAAAATTACCCAGTATATATGTAGGAAAATGAGTTTTTATTCAGCCTACCACACCAAAAGATGGTACAATGAAGCCAAACTTCCTGAAGTAATGACAAAAGTTGCTCACGCATGTAGTAAACCGACCTTATATATGTATGCATGAAGGACAGGGACGAGTGGAGAAGAAGAACCCATTGTTTCCCGTGATAACATCCTTGATGTCCCCGTTCAAGATTTGTGTATGTGCGTAATATATGCCAGAACTGCAAAACGTTTTAAAAGAATAAAGAACACCGATGCAAATTGTCTCCCACAAGCCAGCTATCTAAGGAACCCTTCATTCAAGTGAAGTTACCGGTAACCCGTGTATGACACATCAGAAATCACGGCGCACTGAAGCAGTGTCCTGGAGCAGTCAGTCATAAGAACTCCGTGGGTGATACATCAGCACACGCACGCCAACGTGTCGCCGGTGTTCAGAACAAGGCAAAATGTTAATTACACAGTCTAAGCCACCTGAGCCCGAGACATGCTACAATTACTGCCGGCCTTACTTCTTGTTTGTCTGCCCATGATTGTCCCCAAAGGGAATATGCACGGTAGGATAAATCCTACAAAACATATGTCCAAGAAAGATGTTTGAAAGGTAATTACATGATCACGATGCTATCGAACTATACAAAAGTGAAATAAAAACTTTAACAGAAATATTCAGTCTTATTTTTTCGACCATGACCTTACATAGTTGAAAGTTGTTGTTGCGTAACACCTTTATCATACATCGATTTTTGGGGTCGTTACTATTGACTCTGTACTTGATATTGATATTTCCTGTCACAGAACGATTCTCACATCGACCTTTAATTAACCCTAGGATGGTCATGTTGTGTACCTGCGAGCTATAGCACTCTTCACAAGAAAGTTAAATAAGAATAGACGACACCCTGGTGACAGCTTGCTAGAGTGGCCGTGGGTGGGACCTTTCCTAAAGGGCGAGTCATCAATCCTAATCAACTAAATCTACAGCTAGGACTACGATTGTATGTTTATAATTTGAGAGGCTAAAGTACGACATTATTTCAATTTCAATTTTACTGTAAAACCCAAACCTGACAGAGGCAAAGGGCTACTACTACAGGGTATATCTGAATTATGTGGAATTTTTACAACCTTACAATAATTACAAAATACGTTTAGAGTACCGGTGCTCTAAACGTCCTGCTATGACCAATACTGTAAACAAAACTGCTTCTAACACTGTACATGAGAAAGGTTGCCTTGTTGTACATATGGATGGATGCTGGAATGAGTCTTTTTCAGCAAGCTGTTGGTACTGTGATAGCTGAGTTATTTCTTACGGTCCGCCCTAACTCATATCTCGTTATTTCTCTCTTTCCACAGGCCAAAAACCTGAACAGAAAGAAGACTAACTATAGCGGGTACAGCGTGGCCGGGCAGCAGCTCAGCAGAGCCGCGGAGCAGCGCTCACAGGGCGAGAACAAGGATCAGGCAAAGAACGGGGGATCTATAGAGAAACCAATCAACCCGACAGAGTTCATGGACAAAGCAAAAAAGATTGACTCCATGTCAAGAATCATCTTCCCCTGTGCGTTTCTCCTCTTCAACGCCATTTACTGGCCCACCTACTTAGGATGAAGGTGAGACAGGAGCAGGACCTGTAGATGAACAGAACACCCTTGTGACGAGGAACAACCAGACTGCCTGTAGATGTCCAGCCTTACGGCTCCTACTGTCTCGACATTAGACCTGTCCAACGTGCCAGAAATCCGTACATCGGTGTGTGACTTAATGTTTTTGAATGTATCTCTATGAAGGACAAGCTTGTACTACCGTTTGACTTTCTCGCCTTTGCCACCTCGTAGTACACCTATCCTCAGAGGTCATCAGGTCACGGCGAAGAGTGGAAGATGTGTAGTGGCATCAAAGAGAACTCTTAACTACTGTACATATCGCAAATTCGTCACACCGCATTGGAAAGAGTCTCTTAGTGTGTCTTACTATTTAGTACATAAACAGTTTAAAAATGATATAAAAATAGTGATATATTGATTGTTCTAGTTTTACTGTTTTGGACGTTTGTATGTTTTTTCGTGGATGTCGGGCAAAGTGCGAAGGGAAGATATCTTTACGGAGGATGGTGCCAGCATGTATATGTTGATAGAGCGTAGTTGCCTATAGAAGAGGGCTACATGAAGACTGGTGCGTACATAGGCCGGAGGGAAAATCGCGTAAGCCGTATTATTGATACCGAAGGTCGGACCAAGGACACTCCTTCATGTAGACTTACGTTGTTATGGTGAGCACCTCGCGACAACGATGGATTTTCGAACCTTCCCGTGCGTCCACCGTCTTTCATCGTATGATTACACATCCTCGACACAGAAGAGAATTATCCCTGAAGTGTCATCCACAGACGGTGAGAGCAGTCGATGAGGGCCTTGGAGAGGACGCCTGAAAGTCAGACATCAGATTGCTTTTCCAGTCTGAGGATGAAAACCCCACGATATTAGTATGTTCACGGTACTTCCACGCTGCGGTAGACTTAGGGCGTTATCAGTGTAATACCTGTCAGTTACGTAACGTCATGGCTTCCTCTGTACCTTTGAGGTATTTCTTGTTCGTCATAGATATCCACCGAGACAGCAACGAGAGAACTAGAAGCGTTGATTCTCTACATGTACTTGACTGTAGTATTCTCTGAAGGCAAATGTGATTCAAATGAGTGCTTTATTGTTGTCCAAGTGACGCGTAATTGCTACGATATACAATAAATTTGGTAGAGATCGAATCTTGCCGTTAGGTCCCATATTATTGCACTAAATGGAACAATGCTTTACATTGTCTTAAGCCCCTGTCACACATGCAGAACCTTCCACAAAACACCAGTCGACCAAGGTTGGCTGGAGTTCAGGAGCAGATTTAGGCCACGCCCACCTTTCTATACGAATCGACTCGAATTTGAGTTAAATTTTAGTCAAATTTGAATACCAACCATACCCCCACTCCCGAACACCAGCCAACTATATCAGGACCTCCCTCCCTACCCTACATTTTGAAACAGTCAGCTGGCGCAGCCGAACAGTAGCCGAGCACCAGCCTACCTTGCTCCCGGCCAACTACCATGTTTGGGGGGAGTTCGGCTAGTGTTCGGGAGGCCATATGTATGACAGGGGCTTTACTCTGCCCCAAACTTTTATAATTCTTTTCAATGGTGAGTCCAGTTTCTGTTGACTCACTGCACTAGTTCATGTACATATCGTTGACAAATTTGCCTAGACGTCTGGATATGTCACGCCACAGAGTATTGCAAATACAAAACAGTGCTCTTCTTCAGTAATCCATTTTGTATGAGTAGTTTAGCAAACAGGTAGTAATGTCTAAAGTGAAATGAGTGAAGCAACTCATACTGAAAATGTTCATGTGCATATTTAACCGCGTATTTCATGACTTAGTATACGTAGTTGCCACATCAGTTTGTTATATCTTTAATATTCGTTTACGGAGGCATATCTTAGCTTATCTGTTTATAGGACATATATTTATGTATGTAATATATACAAAGACAGCACTGGTACTGGTAATATTTGAATTTCAGTTGGAAATCAGGATTGGCTAGAGGCACAGCGTGTGCATAGTGAAGGTGCGACATCATTGGTTAAGGCTGTGAGCACACATTGAAATAGCCAACGGTAAAATCGAGTCAGACGTCACTACCATAGCAGGAAGACAGAATACCCATTACGATCACTCTAGACTAACATACTGGCCCTGGGAAGCTCCATATTCTCTCACAACACTACTTCTCTTCGGCAAACGTTCAATTTCATTGTTACCAAGCTTCTTCAGAAATGTATGCCATTTTGAACAGGCCCCGGACAACCCACATTGCTGAAGGATTTATAATCGTCAAGGCTTGATTCTAATTGAAGCGCAAATTATCTTTGATATGGAATTTGTATCTCCAAGAATGTACCATATTGTTGAAAAATTACATACTTCATAACTCGACTGTCAGAGTTCAGAGTCTCTTTTGTTTCTCTCCTTGCATCTCATATCATATCTTATTGCGTAATTATGTAAGTCAAGTGTGTTAGTCAGACTATATCATTTTCGTGGGATAGTGATTACTGGAGCATAGGAAGAACAATGAAAAGTATGGGACACCTGATTTCGGTGCATACTCGTTAAAACTCTAGGTATTATAACATCTACTTGGACACGTTATGGTGCCTACAATTTCAATATCTCCAGCTCAGATGCTGAGTTCTAAACAGCGTTAGCTATAGTGTGCTGGCTTACTTGGTTGCAACATCAACAAGAGAACCCCAACGAAACACTTCATATATTGAAACTCAGAGATGATAGAAATCGGTACTTTTTTTTTTTTTACAAAACTAGACCCTCATTTTTTTGCAACTTTGAAACGCCTAGGAGCAAGTACACACATAACGATAAAATTAATATTATACACTACCAGATGCATGGGCATTTCGAGCTCAGTACAAGTGGAATTAGATGCCACACGATTTTGAACTAATTTCGCAGTAAAAGTAGGTTATAATTATAACATTTGCACACAAAATGTATTCATTAGAAAAGCATCCTCTGATCAGGTTAAATTTGTCAAAGTTGTAATGATGCCTCTCAGACACCTGCACTGAGGTCTCCTGTCACCATTTGTAAAGTAGTACCTGCTTTTAGAAGCCGTGTAGCTGAAATAAAATTTAACCTAACATTTCATTACTGTGTGCCGTGCACTTATTCCGTTCTTGTGAGTTGTATATGTATCAAACGAACGGAAAGGAATGCAAAAGAAGCAGATGTACTTACAGCTCTTTTATGCAGTAGTATATGTATAGGAGTCAAAAAGAAAAACGATCTTTCAATGACACAAGACGAAAAGCGGCTAGCTGGCAGATTGATGTAGGGGTATCTGCTGAGATTTCCCCACCTGTACGTCTGGTCGCCCCAAAACCGCCGACATCGATTTTCGAGAAAAATGACGTCATACATCACCACGAAATAGCCTTGGCATTAAAGGTGTCATTAGTCGGGTCAATGACACCTTCTGGCCATTAGAACGTTAACGATGGCTTTCATGGGGATATTATGCCCAAATAGGTGCCACAGACTGATGTATCTTTGATGGCTTTTAATTAGAAAGGGGATATAATTATTTCTTGACCATGACGTGTAAATTCGTTTCAAACCTTCATTTTTTTCTTAGTCCAGAATCACAAGACAAGAAATTCGGCCTTGTTTCTTTGGCATCTGTGACGTTCTTCAACTGTTATGTTATTTGTAAATGCGTCCATGTATTTACTGAGTTGTTGAAGCATATATGTACTTATAATTCAAGACAGGTATCAACTCTGCATTACCATACCACCTTCGAACATGAGGGGGAAAACACCCATTAGTATGCAGGTCTACCTATTTTTCTCCTGCCATGTATCCATACGGGGGTATTTTGGAACGACATTGGCATTGCCCTCACGTAGGCCGGCTTTGGCGCGCAAAATCTCTCAGTCACGACTCCAGGCTCCCTCCAGACTCGTGTGAGAATTCCGACACGTACGCGGCAGGAACGGGAAATCAGTCTGGGAGAACGGCATTGTAGGACGCATGTTGTCTTGACTGGCGAGTCAATATTGTCAGGAACTGTGTTAATCTCAATGGAACACTGAACAAAAAAATTGGGGACAGAATTTAAAAGCCGTTCTGTTCATATATACAGCACCCCACCCCTCCCACTCATGGTCACACATCGAGGTTCAAGTGGAAGGTAATAATGACATAAAGCTTGACATGTGTTAACCAAAGTTTCATCTACATAAACAAAACGTATTTCTTATTCATAACAATGTATTTCATATTTATACACCGTACATGAAATAGCTGAGTCATCTATATTTGCAAGTATCTTCTTGTTACATTATTTTGCTGCACAGTGTCCAAATGTTCATTATAGATAGACTTTATTGTACAACAATTGTACAAGGTACAAAGTATGGCATTTACTGGTACATGCCAGTAGTAATCATACAAAATCGATGCTATGAACGAGAAGTGATGTGTAAGAACATATTAGGTGGTTCTTCTAAAAAAATCTTTCAGTTTTATTGTAACATGTAGATCTCTACTAGTGTTGACTAAACGTATGTGAAAATGTCTGGATCTGTATGTGACAGTGTTATTAGTATCTTTTCACATTTTTACAGTTCCATGTCAAAGCACGGACCCACTTGACAACATGGATATACAACTAGCGATTAGTGTCATCTTTGCAGCCGACTGCTGCAGTAAAGATTTAGACTGCTAGTCGGCGCTTCTGAGTCGTGTGTTGGTGCATGTAATATCTACTGTACATGTAGTTTATGTTGTTACAGCTAACATGTTGTTGATGGTTAAGTAGTCTTACAAAAGACTCTGAGTTAAAATTCATATAAAATTCATATGAAAATTAATCAACAAGCAGGTTGATCTATCAAGTAATACAAAGTAATTATTATAATGATTTAAAAGTGCAATTCTAATTTCAACACTCTTTAAAAAGTCCTCTGATAATGGTTTCCCCCCCAAAAGAAATCATCAAATGCTATCCCTGTCTTTTCTGAGCATCTAGAAGCATTGCTGTCTCTTTGTAGACACTGAGGTATTACTATTTTTCCTCCATAATTGTTTCACACAGTACACCCTTTAGCATCCTGGCGCATGGTCGTGATGTCATCTTCAGGAAGAAACCTGGGAAGTTCTGAGACTTCATTCTTGGCTGAGTCTGTAACAGGCAGACTCCAGAACTCAAAAAGTGGAACCAGATTCTGCTGAACCATCTTGGAAAACCTGACAACCCACCTGTCGATCTTGTCTTGGTTGTCAGAAGGAGGATTCTCGTCTCTCTCATACTCTCTGAACACCTGGGGCAAGGAAGAAACAGAACACAAGAAAACTAATGCTGGGAGTGTAATCTTCACCAAAAAAGGTTAATACAAACATGTCCAAATAGTTTATGAATTGCTGTAACACATAAAAAGTTACTTATAATTAATGAACACAGATGATAATATGTTTTATCTGGATAAACTTTACAGGGAATGGTGATAGATGATGTCAAAATTATTTTGTATGTGTTAACTGTATCTTTTCATCACATTTTGTTGTGACCGGTAATTGGCCCAGTGTGGCAAATGTGCAATAAAACTCGTCACTCACTCACTCACTCACTCACTCACTCACTCACTCACTCACTCACTCACTCACTCACTCACACACTCACTCACTCACTCACTCACTCACTCACTCACTCACACACTCGTACTCACTCACTCACTCACTCACTCACACACTCACTCACTCACTCACTCACTCACTCACTCACTCACTCACTCACTCACTCATTGATAAACTCATTACCTTTTTATATGGTTCCCAGCCAAAGTGATGCACCAGTTGAGCATAGACACCAAGACCTACTCCTGGATTCTCTTTCCAAGCAGAGTAGCTTGGTTTCTATCAGGGGATAAAGCAACAATAATTCAATATGACAGCAATAAAAAGTGGAACGAACTGAAGGAAAGAAACATATTTGATAAAGTTTTTGAGGCTTTTTTCTAAGTCTACCTGAATTACATTTTATTCCAAAATGAATATAAGGTAGCCACTGCCAGTAATTGCATTCCAACAATGTAATGAGCATCTTAAGTGAGTATTTTGTATGTATAAAGATTTATTCTGATATCATTATTTGCTGGTTCACTAAAATCACAGTCATAACTTTCTTCTATACTTCAGACCAACACTAACAACAACAGTGGTGCAGCCATACCTTCAGGTACTGACGAATGTTTTTCCACTGACCCCGTAACCAGGGGTGATGCCAGGGGTCTATACCAACAATGGTATGCATGGCGTGGAGGGTGAAGATATTACAGGTGACCTGAACACAATCAGATATGTTCTAAATAAGTCATAAACATGTCCTGCAAGAAAACAGAATCTTCTTATTATAAGTTGAACCAAATTATTGATTGAGAGGTTATTGTTACACTGCAGTCTTCCTCCTTTAGTTACTTCCCGTTCCTTATACACCATTTTTCTTAAAAAATGTTAATAACAGAATCTGATGTTCATAATGTCAAACCTCAGTGGTTCCTTCGAAAGTCCAGGCATCTCGCTGCATGTTGTGGCCCAACTCGTGGAAGAGACCAGTTACCTTTTGTCTTCAACAGCGACATGTTCAAGACACTGGCACCGCTACTTGAATCTGTGGTAGGGGAGTGGCACGGTTGTTAGTAAAAAAAAGAAATCAGAAATTTTGCAACAATTATCATCAGCATGTAATTAGATACGTAAAGATGGTAGCCTGAAACACATTTTACTAAAGCAAGCAGTACAATATACATGTACATCAATTCACTGAGACATGCCAACACCATTAACACTTAACCTTTCTTATAATTTTAAACTTAAAGGATCATTAGAAATGTTGCAGCACAGCTTAACAATATTGACAGCAACACTAAATATTAAGTCATTTTCTTATTAACCATAGAACTTACTACAAATGAACTATGTACATGCACTTATTACTAGTATCAAGAATGTCAAGAATAAATGACATATGTACATTTTGTATTCTGTGTAATAATGATGTGCAATAAATATTGATGGATATTAATACAGATTTACATACCAGTATATAACGTTATGTCTCTAATTTGTTTATGTTAAAATGCAAACCTTTGTCAGCAATATCGAGGTGTGTGACTATGGGGTAGCCTGCATGCATGTAACCTGCACAGGGCTGTCTGTCTGCCACCACTCGCTCATGGCGATAGTCGCTAGGGTTTGTCCCTCTTAGGTCATGATGTGCCTGGTAATAAAGTCAGCAAAGCAAACATCAACCAAGTTAGTACTTACTTACTTACTACTTACTTACTTACTACTTACTTAGTACTAGTATTATATAAACATATCAAAGCATGTTTAGGCCATAGAACTAGCAGTAATTAGTGATACTTCAAACTCAACATGTTGATTTATTCGTATACTAAGTCTTGTAAGTAGGTTAGGTTAATCTATTTGTATCCAATTGCATATAGTTTGTAGTAGTTGTAGCCCTTACAAAAGTTGCTGTTTTTTTTGTTGTGTCAATAAAGATTGCTGTATAACTCTTACATACAGTAAGAGTTATAGAGAGTACCAGTAGACATAAAAAAACAGACCAAGTCATAAAAGAGAAATTGGAAAAATAAGATAAACTTAAGAAAAGTTATAAAAACTAGCTTTACCTGGACTACCTTGTCCCAAAACAGTAACATTTCCGTGGGATTGAACCCATCCCTGATACAGGTAGAGGGTAGGGTGAAGATGACATGTCTGCCAGCCAGCTCCGCCCACAACCCTGGTGATTGACAGCTCCCCGGCCAATTGTCAACTGTCTCAGGTTTTGTCAGGTCAAAACAGGGAGCCTCTACCACGTTTTCTATCATGATGGTCAACTCTGATGGATACTCTGGGCTTTCCAGGTAGATGTTGCCACCATATGGAGAGAAAAGCTGCATCTCCTGATCTAACTTCTTGACTACACTGATGTTTGGCCACCGGTTAAGCTTGTGGTGGTCACTAAGTTTGTCTGTGTGTGCGCCGACTCGGATTTTCCAACCCGAAAGTGTGCCGCTGTGTATTTTACATGACTTAACCAGCAGACAGGTTCCAGCAGGGAGATAGTAACCAGTGGTGTGACGTTCATGTTTCTCAGAGGTGATTGTTACTGTTGCACAGTGCACCTGTGGCTCCGATTCAAAATCTCCTGGAAAATCTTCTATTCCTGGAGCTTTGCAGTTACTCCTTTCTAAGTACATACTTGCCAGAGCAATAGTACCTCTTGGGCACTTCTGAAGTGTTTTGTTCTTTATTGCTTCTCCTATGTGAGGTAGGTATCCTGGAAGAAACTGTGCAAGATCTTTTGACAAGTATTTCTCAATGCATTTCTCTGGAAGGGAGGCCAAGCAATATTGAGTGGCTGCTGCAAACTCTTGAAATGACTTGTGACTTACAGTTTTCAGTAAGTGGCCAAAATGAGCACTTCTTGCCTTTTCTGCGCTAGCGGCAACTGAGAACACACGATCTCGAGTGATGCAGTAGTCATCTGTGAAAGAAAGGCCAGCTTCCATGATGATATTTTGCAGAGGCATGTCATCAAGACATTTGGTAGGGTTAAGCTGCAGCCATCCCCATGGACAAATCCCACCAATTAGACATCCTCCATTGGTAAGAAATGTCACGACATCAGGAACTAACTTTTCCAAACCGTTCCCACCACCAACTACCACCAGTGCACCTGACTTGGGCAGCTGGCTTGCCTCAGAGATGTCTTCATCATAAACTACCATCTCTCTCTCAACTTTCAGCCACGACAGGCAGTTGTTAAACAGTTGGCAGAAGTTCTGGTTGTTTTGTTTGAACTCCCCCATGTACCCGTCGTGACTGAATACGATGATCGCTCCCTTACCGATCTGTGCAGCCGCCATGACAGGCTGACCTGAGTCGTCCAACAGAATCGGTTCTGCACAGTCTTCCAAACAGACGAGATGGCCGGGCACACCGATGGTGGGTACTGATGAAACATCTGAGGAAAGGTAGGATGGATTTAAAGTTTTGTGTCACCTTTTGTGTGGAATGACAAAAAATGGCAATGGAGTAGCCACCTTACACTTTGAAACTGTATGTTGTTAATGATTTTCCCTCAAATCATCATTATTCCCTGCATAGGTATGTGGTAGTCTGTCTGTCAACAAAGGACAAGGGTTCTCCACATCTGGCATTCATCAATGTATACCTCAAAATCTAAAGATGTTGTATAACGTGTTATTAAGGTTTTTTTTTACAAAATTTTTCGAAATTTCCATGACTCTCCCATATTCCCCAGGATTCTTTCTTACGGGTATTGAAATATTTACCCTCAATAGGATTACTGATAAATGTGTAGCTCCAGCGGTACCTAGTTAAGATATGAATATTTAAAAGCAAAAGATTGTGCTCAATACCTCGAAGAATCTCCCCTCTCCAACTCTTACACTTATCTAGAGACGCCATCTGTACGCGTGTCTTCCTGCCGATTTGTTGGCGCTATTGTCAACTGGTTACTGGTAGAATCTGTGACCAAGGCATCGATACAAAGCAGGCATATTATGTCATAATAATATGAATCTAATATCTGATATGCAGTACTTTTATGCAAAGCATGGTGCATGGTGTAAATCGTGTTGTTTTAATGTTTTATGGCACGTACTACGTTTACAACGTGGCACGTGCGCACACGTGCTATCAGTTACAAGAGGAGAATACTGAACAGGACAATAATGAACAGCTTCATACAGCGAATTTGCATGTTACCATGTTCATGTGAATGTGACTTTACTTCAGAAACTTTTATCCCTACCTCGAGCTCCTGCGCTGGCCGCCTCGAGACCCAACCTCATCCGGCCCCACCTCACCTCACATACGCTTTCGCCCGTGTTAGTGCCCAAATGTCGTTTTAGGCTATCATCTAAGTACCCTAAATCCCTTTACATCTATCACAATCCCTTTACCTTAGCTAAAATGACCGCTAGACGTGCAAGGACACCGGCTAACAAATTCGCACTAACTATATGTGACACTTCCGGGTTCCTCCTCGTGACCTCGGAAATTAGGTCAAAGATGGGCTCGGGCAAAGGTGACTGCACGTCTTGACCCACTCCAAGTTTGTCGGCTTTCATGCTCTATACATAATCTTTAAACGCAAAAATATTCAAAAATGTATGATTGGAAAGTGGTTCTGGGACTAGACCTTGTACAAAATCTAAAAATACAACTTTCTTGACGCCGCCACAAGAACTTTGGTCGTAATTGTGTATCCTGGTACTCCAAATAGTGTCACAGTATTATCGCCTGCATTGCTTACTTGCCTAATATGTCGAATATTACGGCCTCTATTTATAATAGACCCCCAGACAATGGATAGAGAAGTCAATGAGGCATTATTGTATATAACGTTACGTCTGTCCTTCTTCATCAAAGTTTGTCATAATTTATTGGGATATTGAATGTAAGAATGACAAAATGGCAAGATTACATCGTCCAGTTTCTCTCCACTGATAGTCCCAATTTGCTGAGATAGTTTTAACCGCGGCATAGTGAAGTTGGGACGACATTGCACAAACGTGAGGCTCAAAATTACTCCACCTTTCGGGAAGGTGCTGAATTGCAGAAGGCTTCCTGTTGTTCCTGAATCAAACTCGATGTGAATAATTACTGCCACAAAGAAGCAGGGGATGTAGAGGGGAAAGAAGAAGAAAATAGATGGTTTTCTCCAATAAATCGACTTGAGGAGAACCAGACTTGCACTCAGGCACAATCAAAAGCGACGTTAAACCAGATTAGTCTTGACAAGAACCATGTTCACGGTTATAAACCTCTCCTACCCCCTCCCACGCCCCCTCCCCGTGCACAAATAAGGTTTGTGCGTTCCAGACTGCCTCTGATATCAGTTAGCTTCCAAGGAATGCCGAGTGCGTCAATCACATGTGTCATTCTCACCAATCACAGCGCAGCGAAGGTGGCTTGACTTCAAATCGACCAATGAGAGTCTTTCCCGCGCTTCACGGAGGAGTTGGCAGTTTGTTGTGTGGAGAGGAGGACCAGAGTTGCGCGAACTTTCTCTCAGCAGGACCCATCTCGTCTCATCAGCTTTCACTCGGACTCAATTTGGAGGAGACATACGTGCTCTTACCTCAATTTTTGAGCGTCGTTGACAAGGTATGCGTGTGTCATTCATTCATTGACTATTTACTTTCATACCGTAGATGCGCTTTATACTTTATTGCCTGATGGTGTATAGGAATTCAACGTATGTGTTCTACAGTAACTTGCATCGCTTCAACCTGTAATTGCTACCGTTACAATGGTATCAATGCTAAGTATTATGACGGTATGCGATAATCGTTCATTTAAAGCCTTTCCTGGATTATGTTCCGGGAATGGAGGAATGTGGCGCATATCCTTCTGTTATGGGTAGTATTTGTTTGGCCGTGATAAAAGGGGCGTGGCCATTCGTGGACTACAAACACCGGGAAGTTTATACAGCGTCAGTGAATTTTTTGCAAATGATCTTTGAAAGACCTGACTGACCCAGTGGGCTAAATCAAGGTCAAACATATAGTTATATTTACCATCATAGACTGAAATAAAGCAAAACTACGGTAACCTAATGTAAAAGGTTGGATTCTTTTCCCTTTCGATCATTCGTACGTGGAAGTTCATGTAAGGCCGAAGAGTTAGTTTTGTTACAACGATATTTGTTGACCCAATCGCCCATCGATGTACAACCCACACGATCAAGATCAAGTGTGATATTGAATAGTGGTACCCAACCGCAGTTCACTTTTCTTATTGAGCCACATTGCTGACAGATTCGTGTCGCTATCACATTATATAAATGAGGCAAATTTCAACAACAGCAACAACAAATTATTTCAATAGAACTAATCGGTCTCATCAAAGCAACAGTGATAACAAGTGCTCTCGTATGTTTGCACGATACTTATTGAAGAAAGTCAAACTTATACATGCAAAGAAGCGCTTAGTAGCTAGCAGGCCTGGTAGCTAGCTAGCATTTAGCTTGTTTTTTGTGTGGATATGATAACAGATCGCTGTATCGGCACATATTGGTTTAAGCCCAACAGATCCTGTTGGTATTTTGTTACGTTGTGAATTATGATTGTAACAAAATAGTCTGAGATCCTTTCTTAGTCAGCTTGTGTCAGCCCAAGCCGCCGTTGATCCTCCAAAAAGCCGGGTACAGTCGAGCGAAACTGAAGAAAGGATCTGAATAACTATTTTGCAATCTACCTTAAGATATTAAACAGCCAAGAAGATAAACATAACTATACACAATTATCCTTCGCCGTTCGTCGGTATGGATAGTCTTGAATTATTTTACACCCATACAGTCTGCAAAACACAATTCGCGAAGTGGGGCAGTTTGTTTTCCGTCTACTTCTTCTAATTGAGACAAGAACCAGCACGCCAGGCCGGACATGTAATTTGCTGCTGGTGGTGCAAAACCTTCCGTTAAAAATGAAGGACTTCAAAGGAGCGAGCATGTGCACCTTCCCTATCATGTGTATGTACAATATGGAAACAGTTCTCCCTGGAATTCTGTCGTAAAGTTGGGTCAAGCCCCCAGAAAACATCTGGAAAAGCTTTTCCCCCATGTGGATTGAGTTTGCTCGCGAGGTCCGGCCGGTAAGTTTAGGCTCGCAAAGGGGTTGCTGATATCTTGTTTACAACACAGCACCTGATGCTGTGTGGGACACAAGCATCGATATCATCGAAAGTAATTAGCTTTAAGTTTTCTGGAAAAAAACGTTCCACTGAAATTTTATTGTTTGAAATAGAAATGCGCAACTGATAATATTTACCTTATTTGCCTAATAAATGTTATTTTCAAGTGTTGAAAATGAAACTACATGTACCAAACGATTATAAGACAGTACGAGTACCATACAAATTTTCTCCCTCTTCGTGTTCATTTACCAGGTTCCATGAAATGTCAGCCCAACTTGTGATTATTTGAACAAGACGATCCTGAAATAGAAGGCTGCTGTGTGAAACTCTCCCAGAAGTCACCCCATGCATTCTTTACATCTTTCACGAGTACACGAAGCGTGCGTGGATGTTGATTTTGAATCAAAACAACGAAAGCATTTTGTTTAGCTGTTACTTGTTGTTATTGACATATAGTGTTTACGTTGTAAGCTGCCAAATAATATTTATGTGTTATCGTTTTAGAAACCAATTTCTACGTACTTGCACTGGAGTGCATGAATAGAGAAAAATGCTTTAAGAGTCCTTTAAAACTAAAAAAATGACACTATTTACTCATTAGCTTCGAGAAAAAAAAGCAGCATTATATTATGTTTGTGCTGATAAATGTTCTCGTTTGAACACCAGCAGCTTTGACCACTATTAATTTATATTCCTTACTTTATTCCCCGGCCAAAATAGCAGCTGGCAATACGATTAGACTCAGACAGAAAACCAGGGCAGTTTTTCTTTCCATTTATATATGCACTTGACTTGGGAATTAGATTGAAGACTAGCCATTCTCCAGGATAAAAACTTCCATGCCAAAATGATAGTCAGGCTTCGTGCCAAGTGTGCATCCGTGTGCACAGTAGCAGTTTCCGCGACAACTTGCGGTGGCTCCAAAACACAAATGTCACGCTGCTTCTAACGTTATAGAACTGCACTTCAAAAGAACCATCAAAAGACTCCAAACAACTCAATAAAGGGTTATGTGCGTCTGTCAATAGCTCCAAACTTGTCTCTTTTTGCCGATTTTGTCTTGCTCCAATAAACGTCGACAATAGAAAAGGCTGCGGTCCAAAACAAGACAATAAAACCTGCGTGTTGTCCGTCAATCGCTCCCTTGACCTCCGACCTTGCCCTCTTAAAGCCAAGAAGGAAGCAGATGGTTCAAGAACAACTTCCCCTGGTTACTAAGGTTACCGTGAGACGTGACGCTGACAATGTGCCACTCTCAGGGACCCGGGTTGAAGGGGTGAACCGTTTAGATCACGTTGGCTCATGTTGAACTTCAATGCGTACTCGAAAGGTGCTAATGCTAATTTTTGGCACAAGTTTTAACCAGGTCTTCTGAGTTTATAGATGCCCTGAGTTGAATGTATGCATGCAATTTCTTCTCATTTTCTGTCAAGATTAAGAAAACATTAAGAGAGAGGGGGGGGAGAGAGAGAGAGGTTCGGAATAACACTTTAGATAGGCCTGGTCTTTAAAGTTTATTTGTCAACAGTTGAACTTGACAACAGATGGAAAGGTGGACTCTCAACGAAATGTCGTCGAGTATGAACAAGCAAGAGGGGAAATACATCAAGAGTTTTATTTTCCGAGTACATATTTTAGCTTATTTCGGTTATGGAAAAGATTTATATCGTATCACTGAATACCCTAGTAGAGCCTCTTGCCGTTTTGACGTCCATGCTGGGAAAGTTGTTACCATAGATACCATGTTTTCTCAAGGGATTGGTTGTGACGATAGTCCTGTTTATTTTCACTTCTGTGTCATGTTTTCTTTCGACTCGGGTGTTTCAACATGCCATTCTACTTACTACATCTACCCCCCCGCCCTTCTTCTACCTCTTCTTTCGTCAGTTAGTGAACCTTTTATCAACAGTTTATGTGTGGAAAAACACGTGACGTACTCAGAAGGGCCATTTCAACACTTTCTATCAGTCCATCTGTAAACACTACAGGGTGCTGGGGTAAACCCGCGTAATTGGGTGGATACGGCGCGACAGTAACAGTGTTCCGGGTTGCGCCAGGAAATTCATAGCCTGGTTCCAGACTTTTTCGGGGGATATACGTAGGCCAGTTCCTCGGCTCCAGGGCCAATATGCCGCCAAGGAAATTATACCATAGCCCCTCTGAGTTCTGGGGCTAGCGTGTTATGGGTCTGGCATCCATGCTAGGAAATCCACACTACGCATGGTCCTCTTGTGGCTCAAAATTGATGGACCTCCATATTTCTCGTCTTGTGTATATGTGTGTGTCACTGTATACTTATAGAGGGAGTGGGTGGTGTCACGTACAGTCATAAATCATTGGTTTCAATATTCTAATTAATATTATACAGGAAACAGTCTACTCTAAGTTTTGAAGTCCATCATTTCTTAATTTGTAAAGTCTTTATGGCGTAACTTTCAGCAATGAAATGAGTTTGGCTAAAATTTTACGCGTACAGTGCCGTAACAAGTGATGAATAATTGTGAAGTTTATTGCAAATTCATGCCCGGGGGGCTAATTGCAGACAAACATAAAAGAACAATGAAACGTAGTATAAAATAACTAAAATCTACATGATGAAAGGTAGTTGTCTAGAGCTATAGCTATGTCTAAAACTATGTCTAAGGGGTTTGACTTCTCTTTTTTAGACTATGGAAGACGTAATGTCCCACCTTTTCTAAAATTAGTGGGTTTTGGGAAGTTAAAAGAAGAATAGTTTTTTCTTGGTCTGTAAGTTTAGTAAAATTGGGATAAATTGTAGAAGTTTGAATAGTTAACTCATTTCGAGCGTTGCCATGAAAGGAACAATTTGAGATAAAGTGTATTTCGTCTTCCACAGCCTTTGCATTACAATATTTACAAATTCTTTCACATACAGGTAGCCTTCTATACCGGCCTCTCTCTATCTCCAAAGGATGGGCGCTAACTCTAATTTTGCTAATGGCTGAGCGCAGTTCGAAGTCTGCAAGATTAAGATATCGCTCTGTGTTGTACATAGTTTTACATTTTGCATAAAATCTTAACTTACCACTATCAGTTGACATAGTATGAAAAAATGTTTGTATATGCATATCTGTAAGCCTCCTTCTCAGCATTTTCACAACATGTTCAGGATCATAATGTGAGTTTTCGGAATACCACAGAAAGGAGTATCCATTGTGATCTAATATGTCTTTAACACGTTGAAGTAAAGTTCGTCTACGGGTATTTGTCGGAAGGCTTTGTTGTAAGAGGATTGCATCCCTTTGAAGGGGGTGTGAAGTTGTATCTAATTGTAATTAGATACAATTAGATGTAATTAGATCTTATTCTAATTGTAACCATCTAAGCCTATCGTTTTTGTGCTAGAAAATATTTAGACGTTTTACAGCAAGTTTTCTGCATTGCAAGTGTAGTGTTCGCGGGAACGCAGTGTATGGTTCGTTTCTTAAACAGAACTCCCTGCCTCCAGGCATATTTACTACTACCCTCACTCTGTCACCCCTGTGCGGACCTACAGCTGTACAGTGAGAATTATAGAGTAGACAGGGTTTGTCTTTGGTTACACAGAGCACATCAGCAGAATGTCAGCAGTAGGCGTTTTGTCGAGTGAGTCACTTTTTCCGTCGCTCTTGTCTGAATCACTGATCAAATGTCATGGATGATGTGGCCACACCCTCCACTAGATGTATTCGCATGGTCCACATTTTCTCAAATTCGTTATAGTAGTATTTCGTAGATTATCCGCCCAAGATAGGGCCCACAGGCCATTGCAAACATCCTCACCATGTCTCTGTCTCTTTCCTTACAAAACTTTCACTTGTCACCGGTACCCCTCCCTGATGTCACAGATAGTCACTGGTTCATCCCAGCTTGGCAGGATGATAAACAAGCGACCCTGCTATCAATTTCACCGATAAAAGGAAAAGTCCAAGTAATGTGTCTAGAGGGGTAGCCGTTGTCATGCAACGTAAAGTAACTGTCGTCTCTTTTATCATAACGTTGCTGTGTTTAAGATTGGAATACAAAGTTTTCCCTAAATGAGTGTTCTCTATCTTCACAGACTTAAGAAACTATCCAAAATATCAACAGTAGGACTAACTTTAAGTTATTTAAACCCCCTCCCCAAATTTGTGGGGTTGACCCCAGTAGGCGTGACCCTTGCGCCCAACCCGTCCACTTTCACTGGTTCTTTGGGTGTGGTCTACTTTCACTCTTCAACAGACCGTCTTGTGTCTTGGCTGGTACTCTAAGTACTCTCTTTCTCCCCCTCCTGTGCAAGTAAGTGCTTTTTCTTTTCACGTCTACTTCTAGCAGTAAGCTGTATAGATTGTCACAGAGATACCGACCTATTTTGAACTTTTAGAAGGAGGCATCGTTGTAAACAAGTCCCCATTGTAGCGCAGCTAAAAGATTGGCTGGAGTTGTAAAGATGCTAGAAACATTTCTTGACTGCTACTCGGATGTTTGAAATCATATGCGGATGTAGTGTCTGAGATATAGTCTTCTTTCTACTGTTTTGATCCCGCTTTTTAATCGCATATGTTGCAAGGTTTTGAGGAAGACTCGTTGACTGCTTTTTAGGGGAACCACGCAGATCAAATGCGTGTTTCCCCTCAAAAGCGTTATCAAATGTTCTAAAATCTGACGGTCAACTACTGTAACAGTCCTGGCAGTAGACCTATTTTATCGGCTTTTACATGACTGGCAAGTATATAAACATGAAAGTCAGTTTATTGATTCTGTCGTCTGTCGTCTTTCATCTAGATGCTTTCTGGACGTATATCTCGCTAGACGTGGTATATAGCTAATCTTGGTCGGTGCTAGGTTTCACTAGGTTCAGATGCCTTCTTGACGCACGTTTTGTAAAAGACAACGCCCAAACCAAGGCACGTTCTTGTCCCAGAGCTATGCACGTTCTGATCATGGTAACTGTGGCGTGGGAAAGACTGGTAGGCGCTGGGTATATGGTTGTTTGGTTGTCACGGATACGTGTAATTCCTGTGAGTATTAGCCTCTACCAGGCTTCAAGAGGCGGGAAAGGGTAAAAATCGGGTGTGGCAAACTGTACTCACTAGTGGACCAGCTCCCCTGGCATGTTATCTCTCTATTTGGCGGATTTCTACTCCTCCCGAAGTCTGGTAGAGGCTAGTGAGTATGAGGCGTTGTCTTTCTGTGCTCACTTTGGTCCATTTTCGCGCTAGGCTACTTGTCGTGTTGACACCGGGAAACTGTGATTTTTATGGCATGTTGCTTTGACCTCAACCGCATCTCCTAAATTCTACTTTTCCAGGTAGTTTGGAAAATAAGGCAACATGAAATGATGTGCCACGTTTCCTACGAAAATGTTCTTTTTGGCCGTTACTTTATTGTCTTTTTGCCGTTATTATGTTGTGTCTGTAACACTAGTACTTGTACGAACTCAAAATTCCCACCACCGCATAACCCGTATTGTGGATCAGTAGCCCAGTTTGATTAATACTAGAATCACATTTTCCAAGATGTAAACCGAGTACCTCCCAAGACCAGACTGGTCATGAGACTTGTAACGCGACACAGCCAATTATTACCACTGAAACATACATAAAATTTGTACTTAAAACATCGTTGGATCGAGTTGCACTCGTGCGGGGTAAGAAGTGCCCATATACGGGGCGTTGGGCTGTGTCACCTCATCTGTAGAGAGTTCAGACACGGCCAAGTTTATGTAAGGATTCCCGGCGTTGCCTTGGTAGTCTGGATCTATGTAGTCCAAAGGTCGGCAGATGTCGTGCGGTACTGGAAACATTATCCCCGCCGAGACCTCGCCGGGACTCCAACTTCATTGTACTAATCGGTCACGGTGATATTTTGGGCACTTGGGCATGCTCTTCTGTTCGACCGCTTGGTTAGTAAAACTTGTAAGACTTCAAGTATAGCCTTACAATACTAGTATGCACCAAGAGCTGTTACATACAGCCTTACTGTGTACCTGATTCCATCTTGGTTTTCAACACATCTGACCTGTTCAGTATATTGTTCTCTAGCCGATTGCTCTACACGATATTCTACTTGACATCATCATTCACCATCACAAAAATCGGTTCACAGTCACAAATGGCTTTCGTCATTTTATTTTAGCAGTGCATTAGGACTATAAAAACGGTTTTAGTAGTTCTATCTGTAGATATATAGCTGTATCGCTATGGTATTTACCCTGGTCCTTTATGTGGCACCCTTTGACATTGACCTTGACCCTGATGACTAACGCCTCGCCCCATCCCGCCAACTTCCCCCCGGGCACCGCCCTGTGAGATTCCGTGCCCCCGGAATTCCTGCACTTTATCAAGGCCAATGTCACAAACATTAACGATACAGCGGCCCGCTTCACGGGAAAGTGCGTAGGAGTAGTAAAGACTTAGTCCCTAAAGCATGTGGCATTTACACTTCAGGAAAGCTTTATTACAAATAAACCATAAATTTCCACATGTTTCACGGTTGTATAGTTCATAATTCCTTGATCTTTACATACTTTGCATACGTTTCATTTCGTTACATACTTTGAATTTCATGATCTATTATCTAACCAAAATCGAACTTTAACGAGGAGCCCAATCATGTTGGACATCAAGATAGTCAAAAATTTCAAGTAATGGAATTAATGCTACTTTTCCTTATTCAAGACTGCTCCAACAGTGCACGAATTGTAATAAGACTATTACTAGTACTGGTACCATATATAAAAGACTATATCAGTACCATAACTGACGTGCGTTGCAAACTTGGTAGATGGATGATGGGTTACCTCAAAACGTTAACACCCTCCCTAACAGCACTTAGTGAGCGGTCCCTACTAATGTCAGTGCGGGCGCTAATATTATGTTTTTGGCAGCCAGCCCCATGCTGACCGTTCCGGGTCAGACCAGATGCCACCGGCGTGCCACCGGGCCGCCAAAATTAGCTTGTTGTGTCTCATATGGCTCTCCACAGGGGTGCAGAAGGGTTAGCCGTGAACCCTGTCTTGTTTCTGTCCGTTTACATCATGTCACATTCAAAGCTACTTGCGCGCCTTGCTAGTAAGCCATAAAATTAGCCTTGATATTAACCTCCACTCAAAACGCAGAGGCCCCAAAGGTGCATGTGTGTTAATGTTATAAAGTTGCTCCCGCGTAGCATGAAAGTGTGCTCAATGACAAACATAAGTGGAAAATTGCGGCATGATGACAATGGATGTGTATAGGCATATCCTGACATCGGAATATACTTGCTAAGATGTCAGAATCCCTTTTGTTTTGCTTTATCTATCGATATCAATACGCATATAATCTGTCGACATTAAACTCTTATTATCAACGTATGTGGGGTAACAAAATAAGTTGAAATTGAGTGGACGTCACATTGTCCTTGTCCTTTGTATGTTGCTAAAAATTTATTAGAACCATACTTCAAAAACATATCTTCATATCAAACTTTGTTGCTTTTAAATGCTCTTCCAATGACTTATGTTAACTATTAATACATGTACACGTAGAGTGAACGTTTTGTTCTGTATGATCCTGATGTACGTGTTTGTCTTGTCAACCTGCTTGTTATTGTACCCTTCAGAAGTGAACCAAGATGGCGGTGCTGAAACGGTGTTGCTGTTGTCTGAAGATCAGAACAGGCAGTCTGGTGGCCGGCATATTTTTCCTGGTCAGTATTAATATTGTTTTTATGCAACTTCTTCCTACAAATAACACTTTATTCTTGTCGGAAGGCTCCATCCCAATCCAAGCGCAACTTATGTCATGTCACAGAGAAAGTTTCATCTCAAGTTGAGCTAGATGTTACTACATGTATATAATACTAAACAACATACAATGCACGAAATATAGGTAAAAGGGTAAGGTAAAAATACATTTCGTTCTAGTTTTTGATGCAAATGCATTAATCTCGATACAAATAGAACTAAAACCTTGTTCACTAGTATCATATCATTGCATATCATTGCGTTCGTATACGCTACCTATACGTACTTCTCAAGGAAACAGATAACATATAAATGGTCCATGTATGACATTACATGTATAATCTATGACTAGTGTTGAAGAGGAGAAACCTCACCAAGTATTTTTTCCTCCCTCTAGGCCATCGCCATCATTGACCTGATTCTGCGCGCTGTTGGACTCGGCAATGTGCCCGGGGGTAGGTAGTGTCCTTGGGATGGCTTTGATCATCAAAGTAACTCTTACGAAGTACCTAACAGTAACACGATAAATTCAAAGCGTGCAACTAGCTCTGTTGCTTTTCTTTTCGTCAAGAACATGAAATTCAACAACGCACTTCCCAGAAGAAAATTTTACATATTGTACATGTCCTTTGGGATTCTATAAAAGAGACGACTTTGATCATCAAAGTAACTGTTTTGAAGTACCCAATTGCAACACGATGGATTCGAAGCCTGCAACTAGTTGTGTTACTTTTCATTCTTATCAAGAAGAGGGGGTTCAACAACAGGCCCAAGAACGCACATTTGAATGGCATTTGAAAGCTTTGGGCTGAGACAAATCAGATTTGAATGTGGTGATTCTGTCCACAGATGTACTAGTATGTCGTGGGAGTTGGAATATACATGTACTTGCCCTTCACTGTTTTGCTTGGCCGCTGTTCAGTGCTGAGTACGGAATTCCAACAGTGTGACATACCGGTAGTTCGTTTGTGAGACCCGGGGCCTCGTTTGACACAACAAGATGACCTCGAGGTCGACAAGCATTTACCAGTCTGGAATACAAACCATCTGTGTAAACAAAGCTGTTGTACCTGCAGTTGAGAGAAGTATCGCTAGATGACCTCCCTATCACGACTACTGCAATGTTTCCACCACATGTAGACGTATAATGTGTCCAATACAATATCATACGCATGCATATGTATAATGATACTCGTGCATGGTTAACATTAATCCTAAATAATACCACTGATATACCATTTGGGGACATATTCGTCGCCATGAAAAGTTTCTTTTTATTGTATAGATTTCTGTATTTTACGGTCTGTATAAAATATGAAAATGTTTTCCCTCCCAGTGCTGGCTGGAGGTATCGTCTTTGACATCATATTTGCCATCTTTTGCATCCTTCTCATCGTGGGCGTGCTCAAGGTACGTCAGAATGACGCCGTCATTTTTTCCACACTTGCAGTAAGGTAAAGTAAGGTAAGGTAGGCTGGCATTGATACGTGCGTAAGTTGTTCATTTTGCAGACTGTATCATACAATCAGTAAAGTAAGGTAAGGTACGTAGGCTTGCATTAATACGTGCGTAAGTTGTTCATTTTACAGACTGTATTATACAATCAAATTGCTGTTGCAGCAAGCAAAAAGAAACCAGGGCATCGATAAGATAAGATGTATACCCAAGTTAACCCAACAAAATCTACTTGAATTGTACACACTTGTGCACTTGCCATGTGTACATATGATTAACATTACAGCTATTAGACTCTCATGAAAGTTCATTTGTGTTGGTATATATATATATAGTTACATGTTCAAAGTTAAAATTTTTGTTCCAACGCAAAAAATTCTCTCACCTAGAGCTTTCGACCAGTCACTCTGGTCTTCCTCAGTAGACTGACCCAGTTGACGTCACACTTCAAAGAAGCCACGTGACAAGCTTCACTGGGTCAGTCTACTGAGGAAGACAAGAGGTGCTGATCGAAAGCTCTAGGTGAGAAGAATTTTTTTGTGTTGTGTTAAAAGTTTTAACTTCAAACAAGCTATTAGACTCGTATGATTTTGTGTTGACAGGACATTAAGTGGTTCTGCCTGTCCTGGGTGATATACGCCGTGGTGTATCTCATCATACTGCTCATCCTGGCCATAGTCTACACCGTCATGACTGTGGCCGAGTACATCGACGACGACGTAAGTACACACAGACGTCACCAGAGAGTTACGTTACGCGTCGTACTTGCGTCACCTCAGTTGGTTTCGCATAGCCTGTAAACCGCCTTAAGACGTATCACACGTCACAAAGATATATCATATATTGCCCGACAAACGTACGGGTGAAAAAGGTAGTGTGGGGACTTGCATTTCTTGAAATATTTTTATGAATTGAGTTTAGTTGTATGCGTGCATTACGCATTTTAAGGAGCTTCTTCTTGTATGAATATGGAAATATGGATAAAAGGCGGAGACTACTTGTATTCCTTCCCCCATTAAAAATATTAGTTAGATTGACATGTGTTATGCCTTGTGCCTTTGCAGAAGGGTGTGTCTCTCGGCGCCATGATTGGTGGACTCGTCATCAGCTGGTTGATCGTCACCATCGTCGTCTCCTTCATCGTGAGTACCCCTGATGGTGTTTCTAAAATTCAGTTTATGTTTTTACAAGACTATGCCCGAGCAAATCAGACATTAGAGGAGAAGACGTGGTCCAAACAATGATAGTTATCTCTAGATAATTTCATCAGGTTGGTGAATGATTGAGTAGTAAAATTGTTTTATTCACAAGCATTTGTTTAACACTGAAGCTGGGGGGTGTTACTGTTTCACAGTGCACTGTGCAGCTTCAATGTACAGCAAACCAGTGACACCTAACTTCAGTGCACATTAAACTAGCCATATTAGCCCTGATGAAGATGATATGCCGTCACCTCCTCGTGTTAAACAATAGTTGTGAATAAAAGAAGTTTCTCGGTTCAGTGATAGTTCTCCCTTTGAGCTGAATTTAAATAATTTTCCGTTGTTGCAGGTATACTGCGTCCTGTGCGTGTACTCCCACTACCAGAACCTGCGGGACGGCATCGTGGAGGGCGACGTCACTGTCACCCGCACTGAGGTAACCAAGACATATGTGTAATCAGCCAATCACAGACACGCAAACAGGTGATTGACAGGAGGGTTGTACGGCGCGTGACACCTGTCTGGGTGAGGTGTGTGACGTGTAGTTGACATGCATGCCGGATCGTCCTGGACTTGGAGAGAACCGCACGTGGTGGCACGTTTTTTTATACATGTACCACGAAATAGATTTTTCCTGAAATGATTGTCCTGAATTGAAACTCAACTGATCTTCACTTGTGACACAGCATCTTGGAATGGAATCAAATGTGTTTTGTAAACATTTATACGTATACGTAGTCTACAGAAATAATTTATCAAAGGGTCGTTAGTTGTAAATTATGCGTACTTTTTCGACGACATGAAGCAACCTGTGCCCAAATGAAAGAAGGGCTTTAATCATGTTATAAGTAGCCTAAATGAGAAAGGAGATCTTATTGGAACGTACAACACAATACACAACTTTTACTATTTTCAGACCTAGAGCTGACATGAATGCAATCATCTACCCTTAAGTACAGACATATGAACTTACTTTATCTGACTGTTCATGACACAGATACTTTGCAGGAGAACAAGAATCTCTATGCAGTGTATTATATATCATTTTATGTCAACATATCTAGAACTAGAACGCATTACTGAACCGCGCAACCTGACCCTCATCCCTTGCTTCTTCGTGTTGCTACATTGTGCTTGCTTTCAGCTTGTAACTTCTTCAAATAAAAGCTGCTTTGCTTTTCTGTGCCCGCTTCTGTCTGTCTGTGTGTTCGTCTGCTTGTCTGTCTGTTCGTCAAAGTGTGTTTGTCTGCCCTTTTCCTTTTGCCGTGTACTTTAAATTGCTGCTTTCACAATAAGAACTGTATTAATTGAACAAACCTACAAAGCACCAACCTGTCATATTCCCTCAAAAAAATTTAAACACTTACTATAATAAGAGACATTTCTGTGTTTCTCTTCAGGCCAAAGCTTAAGATGCTTCTCGAGTTTTGCAGTGGACGTGGTGAAGAACTCACGCCAGTCTCGTCAACTCACGCGAGATCTCGAGAAGTGCCTATGAGTATGAGGATTTTGGTGCTAGCATCAGCTTTACAGATTTTCTCTGATATATTTTTAGCTCAATGATCTATATCTGATCTAGGACAGCTTTCTCAGAATTCCGCAACTTTTAAGGCTATTGTGGTGATCTTTTATTTCTTTTGTTAACTTAATGCTATTAACATATGCATTAGCCCGCATAAAACTATATACTACAGTATATTCTAACATAGAGAAGCAACAAGATGAATTGATTATGGTTGGATAATGTTATCAATATTTCAAAACGGCTCTCTACTGTGGCAAACCCACTCGTTGATGGCACTAATGTACAGTAGGTTGTGCGATCTGTAGACAATAGACATATGCAACTGTATTATTCGTGTATAAAAAGTCTGTTTTCTAAACGAAACTACTTTCTATCTAACCAAACCTTGAGAAGCGAAGGATAAAAAAACTGTTGTGTTATAGTTGCCCTTTGACTGTATTGTATTATAGTTATGATAAGCCTATACGCTATCAGTATCATTTGTTGGTATGGTAGATGGATGTCACAAGTCGATATTCGCGGGTCTGTATTATTAAAACTTAAGGCTAATTATGATGATATGCCACTTATGATGACACCAATTATTATGCTTGGCTGGGTAAGATCATACGGACTTTAAACAGGATGACTTTTGAATTTACGATACTGCACAGAATTGCTCTAGTATTGCCGATATCTAGCTGTACAAGTTATAATAAAGGCTTTTGTTGTGAGTGTTAGCACCTTGTATTTCCATCTTTACAGTTGGATTCGTACGTTTCTAGCTTATAGTCTTAGGAACACGACACGAATAATAATGAGAGACAAGCTAGACAGCTGTGTTAATGTATTTAAAAGCAGTTTTACTAACAACAGACGATTTTCGAATCACACAAAGAAACCTTAATTGTTCAGAAATGTCATTCCTACAGCAAAGAAAACTTCATCTGCTTTCCAGACTGTATTAATTATATATATAACTGCATCGTAAATGCGTACTACTAGATGATTGTACATGTGTTGACTTTTGATATGTGCAATGCGGCAGATCTATGCCTGTTTCGATTTAATTCCTCTTGTGTCGTATTGTCACAGTGTAAATGAATTGAAGAAAGGGGGTCATTGATTTAATCAAAATATATCATTTAGTCGAATTGAGGTCAAGTAAAATCATGTTTGTGAGCGGTAATCGAACATGTCAAAGAACATCGATAACGGGGTTAACTTTCTGCTTTAATCTTTCCTGGAATGATCGCCGGAAGAATATCTTTTCATGGAATGATCGTCGGAAGAATATGTTTTCCTGGAATGATCGCCGGAAGAATATCTTTTCCTGGAATGATCGACGGAAGAATATAGCACAAAGTGGCGTTATGTAAAGCCCCTGTCACACACTCAGGACCTTCCGCCGACCTTTCCCCCTGCCGAACACCAGCCGACCACGTGCACGTTTGGCTGACGTTCGGGCACGGTCTGATCAGATTAAGGCCACGTGTATCTTTAAGCGAATTGAATTTGAATTAAACTTGAATAATACCCCCCGAAACACAACCTTTGACTTACTCCCGAATGTCCGGCTGGTGTAACACGGTGTAAGGCCATCACCTTTAGAAAAGCTTAAAGGACGCATTGTACGTACCTTAGTCTTCCTAATAGCTTTTGAGCGCTCTGTCAACAATACTGTTTGAACTCAGGCCTAGATCGTGCGACGCGTTGGTTTTAAGTTAGCTCATGATGACACTTAGCCTTCAACTGCATCTATGTTACATGTCTGTCCAACAGGACATGGTAATCCATTAGGTCGAGCATGGCTCTTTGTTCTCTAAGTTCGGTACCTCTTATGGCTAAAACATGAAAGCACGCCGGGCCGGCCTTAAAAGTGTTTCGTGGTGCTTTCAGCGTGACACTGTCCATTAGATTTCTGCTTGCACGGATCAAACTTTGGCAGCATATAGAGAAGCCTCAGCTTTGATTTTTCAAGGCTTTCTTCTTGAGCTTGGTACTGATAACATGATGTCTAACAGTTAGTGATATCATAACCGATGGAGACGTGTGAATCATATATCCGTTGTTTTTTTGCTTTTCTAATGCCTTTATTGAATCAAAGACGCGTTCAAATTGTATAGCTTGTGTGTCCATTCTTGACGTTTTCACGATATTAGCATGAGACAAGATGTTTAGAGTCAACCTACGCGTTCTACTAAGTAAGTCACCACGACTACAGTAAGGGCCTTCACAACAACTTGAATCAGTTTAGTCGTTTGCTAACTCAATGGCACGGCGAGGTCGATGACCCGAGGCCACAAACCGTTTCATGTAGTATAGCGGTTAATCATATATATGCATGGTGAATATATGGCTGTTTAAATCCATACCAGTGTTAATGTACACTGAGAAGTGGATAACAACGGTTCAACATAATTTGTATATGAATATATTGAATAAAATATGGCAATAAACAGGGGTAAGGAGCCAGAGGCGTAAATTCAACGGGCACCAGTGGTTACTTTCAGAAAGTTCATACGTGAATATGACTAAATTGTGCGTTGTTTCAACATGGTACAGGTTTAACGTGGGTCAGTAATATTTTCAATATAAATATTTTCATTCTTTTTTCATGAAATCGTAGTTTAGATGCTATATCTCAACATTTACTTATCCCTGTTTGTCTGGTGAATTTGCCTGTTGCAGCCGATATCAAGCTCAGTAGCAGTGGCGTTATATGTGTGCCGATCGAGCATGGCTATATGATTAAATGTTCTATCGAATTTTCAATTTCCCCATACATGTTGGAAACACACACTGTCGGGTGATGACGCGTATGCTAGTATTTTGCACCGTTGAACAAAAACAGAAGTTACCGCTATGTTGAAAACGAAACATTTCTCAAATTCGTACATAAAACTGTATACTGCTGTCACCTGGCCCAGCGCTCGAAACTGTTCCTACGATGGCTTAGCAATTTACGTCTTTGCAAGCAATTTACTTGCGTCCAGCAGTACTCTTTGGCGTCACTACCGCCGAGTACGTGCGTTGCCGTCCCTTAGTTTATGTACATTCGCACGGTTCTGAGCTCCGGCTGAGGTGAGATAGTCGGTAACGGGTGGGACGTGAGCTGATAAAAGAGCAATGGCGGCTCCTTCTTGCTGATGCGAACGTTGGCACATCTGCCGTCTGGCGGGACCTAGCGTTTGTAGGCCGGCTTCGGGGATAGCCTTCCTCTCGGCGAGCGCGACAGGTATTCGGGGGACGAGGTATGAATCGTCTGGTCAGAATAATATAGTTTCAAACCATATAATGATGGTAGCTATATGAGGTGTGGCAGAATCTGCTGGTCACGTCGTCAGTTAACTCGAGCGTGGGTCGGTCAGACGTCTGCGAGGAATCAGACATCGGCGGAGAGGAGAGGGCCATCTTCTGCCGCAGCGACATGCCCATCATCAACACGTGCTGCTGCTGCTGCAGCCTGAAAGCAGGATGCATCGCCACGGCAGCCATACTCCTGGTTCGTATTACATCTACCTGCTGTTATATATTCTGGCCTCCGATGGGTAGTCGCCATATCAGTGTTTGAACTAATAGTTCAGCTATGTGTACCACATTATGCTTGAAACACATGTATATTATATAGTGTTGTATTAGAATTCGCCATTGAAGAAGGGTATTTCAGACAGACGTGTTAATGGGTGCTGTGCGGGTTTTGATCTATCTTTCCCATGGTACCGCATCAGGTGAAACAAAGGCGTCTGTATCTAATGTGCTTCACCTTTTGGTGGGGGAGTCATATAGAACTTACATCCAATCTGCAACCATCCAACCTGGCCGAGTATTTCATCCGGTCGGTCAATTTCAATTCACAGACCAATTCCCTACCTCCTAATTTCTCACTTACCTAGACTCATTGGACCCTCCTTTCTTCGTACCCATTAGACATTCAAGGAACGTTTGCAATGCACTTGCTATGCCTCCCAGCAGACTTAGGTAACCTTGCATTGACGTAGAGAGAGGCGTTATGGCGCCAAGAGCCCGATAGGCAGCTCATCCAGCCGCATAGTGAAGAATTGCGGAAAGGACAGAAGTAAATAGATTCTCCAGATAAAGCAAAGCATTTCAGACGTGAAGACGTCGATGGTGCTAAAATGTGTGCGGAGGAGAGTTTTGTAGTCCCGCGGGAAACATAAAGCGTACGCAGGCTTAAAGTGCGGAACGAGACCTGCATTTTAAACCATCTCTATCAAAGGCATGTAACACTCTCAGAATATCAAACTATTTCATCAAGTCAAAAGATTTAAGTAGCAATAATACAGCGTGCATATTCGTTCATGAGCAAAACTGTTATAGAGAAACCTCTCATTTTAGAAGGACAGAATTTATGTGGCACGTATCTGACATACTGATATTACATATTCTGGGACTTGTATTTATATTTATTGTACTTTTTGCATCTTTTCCATTATTATGCTATGTAGCTTTCTAAACACCAAAGACTTCACATGATAGGGGAAATCCATGTGAAATTATAACATGCATTCCTATAAAAAATACCACTATATCTGGTCTCTGTATATGTGATAAATGCTCAAAAATATTTTCTGTGATAACGTAAATATTAACGTATACAATAAAAATGTATCTGTAATTCTTTTCAGATCGTCAGTGGGGTAGATCTGGCCGTGCGATTTGCCACTACTGGCATGCTTGTGCATGAAGACGGTAAGAACAATAGTTTTGCAACCGCTTTGTAATATATGACACAAATCTCAGACAAAGGTTACCAGAGCAGCATTTAAACCAAAGGTTACCAGGGCAGCATTTGAACTTAACAAAACATGGCTGTGTATTCATGCAATATGATACTTTGCAGATCACTATCCCTTATGCTAAGTATGATTCCTTGTCCCTGCTGCTGCCGGTGTTTCCCTGTCCCTGGTGCTGACTGTGTTTCTCTGTCCTTGGTGCTGACTGTGTTCCCTGTCCTTGGTGCTGACTGTGTTTCCCTGTCCTTGGTGCTGACTGTGTTTCCCTGTCCATGGTGCTGACTGTGTTTCCCTGTCCTTGGTACTGACAGTGTTTCCCTGTCCTTGGTGCTGACTGTGTTTCCCTATCCCTGGTGCTGACTGTGTTTCCTTGTCCCTGGTGCTGACTGTGCTTCCCTGTCCATGGTGCTGACTGTGTTTCCCTGTCCTTGGTGCTGACTGTGTTTCCCTGTCCCCGGTGCTGACTGTGTTTCCCTGTCCCTGGTGCTGACTGTGTTTCCTTGTCTCTGGTGCAGATTTGCTTAAGCAGGATTGCTTAAATTTAATCTGTTCATTCTTAGAACGGTATTCCCCTATGTGATTTCCATACATCTGATACAATCAACAGAAAAGGCTGTCGTTCGTCAAACGACTACGATCTGTAAGCCAACTGTATAAAGGTTTCCAAATGTCAAATGTTCAGTATTCACCCTATATACTCATGTTGTGGGAGGTTACCTAGATCCTCAGGGAATTTGATGTCATACCAGGGAAGAAGATTATTTTATTGCAGTCTCGATGCATGTTATGATACCAAGGCAAATCCCAATACACTAGTGTAATGTGTGTATGTGTAATGTCGTTTTAGCATGAGGAAAGGTGATGTTAGCACTACGCTGTGTAACGTTACATATATATATTGACGAGGGCGTAAATTTATGGTATATTCATAATCCCCTGGGCATAATAATTGAAGCCAAATGCAATGATTCGGCCTACCATCTTGTTTTTATGTTGATTTTGCATCACTGTTGTTCCTAACCATGTGGACGGGTATATTTGGTTATAAATGGGGAAACTAGATTATGATTATTGTTTCTCATATATACATCCGCTTCAATATAGCCTCGGATATAAGATTAAACCACGTCACATCTAAGCTAGTTTAGTACAAGCTTCACTGGGATGAAGAGAAATGGAGGATAGTATTAGTCTGGGTACTATCCTGGTTAATTAACGTCGGAGCTAGTGATTGTCGGAGCGAACGTGAACTAACCAGGACGGTAACCAGTTGAGTCTAAGGGAGTATATACTAGTACGATACGCCAAGAAAAACAGTTACACAAGCAACTAGATATGGTTTTGGAAACGGCCAAACGTTTCAGGTAGCATCCACTCCCTTTCGTTAGTGACACTGGATAATTGTCAGAAAAGTTGTATAAGCACGAACTATTGATTGATATGCAAATCAGTGAAGACAATGGAACGTCTGACCGTTTCCACAATCATATCCAGTAGCTATAGCTTAAGTAACTTTTTTTTTCGTATCTTATTACCTGGATATATCTAACCTTCACCTACGTACTAGTACTGTAGGTTGTTTTTTCATACTCCAACATGTAGTCACAAGACGTGGTGACGGCACACTCAAGTTTTTTCAACTTATATTAATGCCGCCACCAACACAATACAATACTCATTTTCACCTGAGCGAACTGAGGAAAGTCGTGTAATACTATGCCTTTGCCAAGGGCACAAGATCGGTGGCGTGTCAGGACTCGAACCCGGGACCTATTGATTCCGAGTCGAAGACTCTACCGTTCCGCAACACGACCCTAATACTAAAGTTAAAGGAACGCTCCTGACTATTTGTTCATTTTACAGCGCTGGGTTCTCCTGAAGCTGGTGGCGGAAAAACTAAACCATCACAATGTTATCAGCAAAAGTCCAACTCGGACGAAAGAAAAAATGAACAATGCCCGGGCGAGGCTTACATGGTGGAAGGTACGAGCATGAGTTTGTTCTCCAGTGTTCACCTTTCAGTAGACACACAAAAAAACAATCTTGAATTTATCACCTTTTATAATGTAAAGTAATTTACCTTGATTTTTGTATGTCAAAAAATGACTGGCTGGATTTCATATCAAAATATCATTCGTTATATATTAATTTATAGGAGAAAAGATTCTTCATTGATTCAAACATGCTGTTTATATTCATATACTCGTATATGTATATAACTTCCAGTTTTTGTTTTCGCTTTGCAGCGGCGTATAGCGGTATTGTCTTCGACCTCATCTTCGTCATCTTCTGTATTCTGCTGATCGTGGGAGCCGCAAAGGTAGCTACAATCGCCTTGCGTCGTGCATGTCTATACCATGTGTAACAATTTCAAAGCATTTAGAAATTTAAGAGGTCAGTGAGGTCTCGGGATTATGCAGATGAGTGGATGGATACCCATAGGTTTACTGTTTATTTCATACAAATATCATTAATGCCAGAAGCATACATGGCTGTGAGTAGATTCCTACATTTACCTTCCACATTTCAGGAATTGTTTTATTTTTTCCGTGGTGTTATTGCATGCACATGTACTTTCCTTCAACACAAAGCAATGAATAGTTGAAACCATGGTCTTTCACTACATCAACATCAATCGTCAGTACATGGCCGATCGGTTCAGGCGGTGACTTACAGAAATAGGTTGTCACATCAAGTGTGCTACCTTCACATCACAGAGATTAAGAATTAAAAACGTTTGAAATGAAACGAAGCGAACGTCAAGTGAACCGTTTCATCTGTACCACGATCACGCATCTTACGTGCATTTTCATGCCATTCGTCTCACGTATTTCCCTTGCTTCGTGCCCAGTAGAGCATTCAATCCGCCGCTATAATTGATCAGGCGAGGACCCCTGGTCGACCTCCACTCACGTCACTACCCAGCCAGGGAACCTCTCGGGCGGGAAGGTCCCAGTAGATGAGACCGTTGTTGATGTCGATTGCATCTTTCTCGTGATTATTCTCAACTGTAACAAATTCAAATAACATCGTCTGTACCCCGGATGTTCGCCGTTTTAGATCGACATGATAGACGAGCGTGAACGCAGTTTTGCCTTTCATCTTCAGATACAACTGATCAAAAGAAGCATGACTAAGAAAAAGAGCTGAAGATGTTTTTCAAAACGTTCTTCCTAATTCCACATCGTATAAAGTCGGGAGTAGCACAGAACGTGAAGTAACTGTCAATCCGTCTTTGATAGGTTGCTTACACAGTTTATGTCAATGATGGCTGCCTTACAAAAATTGAAACTGACAGTAAACTAACAGTTATATTTTCCTATCCATAGTAATAGTTTCAGGAATCAGATTTTTTTTTTTTTTCAGGACAACAAATGGCTGTGCTTGGCGTGGGTTCCTTACGCCATCACCTACGTCATCGTGCAGGTGGTTATCTCTGTACAATACACAATGGCCCCTGTCCAGAACAAACCTGAACAAGGCTCCCAGGAGGAACAGGTGGGTTTACCACGAATTATAAAAAAGTTTCATTGCACTGTGATAGTGTAGAAGATGAAATGCACCTTGCACTTGATTGTAAACTGCATGATATTGCAAAATGTGTAAAGGTAGAACAAAAAGTATATATTCAACCATCTCATGACTGACACTAATGACCACAAAATTGAAAAATTATGTTCAGTTGTTTTAAAAAGAGAGACGAAATCTTCAATACTTAGATTACTAGGCAAAATGTTGTACCTGACTTTTGTGTCATAACAAGTAATAACCAGGAGACGAAACTATCGCACTTGTGTATGAGGAGAGGAAGAATTGATGATGATTGCATGAGAGTTGTAGAAATGTTTCGTCTTCTGATACATTTTCGTCTCTCCACATATGAACAGTTCCGTACAGTGGGGCTGGCCATTCCATGGATCATCATGGGCATCGTCACTGCCCTGGTGGTAAGCACTGTGTCTATATCAGATGATCTGTATCAATATGTTTACCGAAGGAAAACATTGTTTATGCTCTGTTTCCTCTTCTTCTTCTTCTCCTCCTAATAAGGTCAATGACCTGAACCAGATGTCTGTCACCATGGTAACTAGTGTTGGGCTGCATCATGTTGCAATTTTATAGCAACAGGGATTTAGACTCCTGTCTGACCATATATATAAATGTGTTTGAATACGAATTAACAGAGCAGACCATATGCGAAGGTAAAAATTATGTATTTGCTTTGCAAATGTTTTCTAGTTTGAATGATATTACAAAAGAGCTTGTTTTTCTAGCTACTCCGTCTTTTTTTCATAGAATTAGCCTACATATTGACATTGTACAGATACACGCATTTCCTGCAAGCTTAAGACTGGGTTATGATTACTGCTTTGTTTTCTTCCCGTAGATATACTGCATCATCGTGGTCCTCTCTCACTATCAGAACTTGCGCAACAAGATGAAAGGCCAGGATCGCTACCAGGCTACTGAGGTATGTATGTACTTGCGAAGGGATGTATATATTGGGGAGATCATTTTATATAGTTAACTGACGTTACATGTTCACGCATACAATGATCCACATTTCAGTTCCCTGTGCCTCTTACATATATAATAGATTCCTATTAGAATGTGTCCAACATGTTTTTTGTTCATTCACACCACTGTGCATACGGCGCTCACACCAATTATTTGCCCAATACTCACAAAATGCATAAATACAGCAGAATTATGTGCTTTACGATTTTAACCTTACAGAGGACTATCCATGACCAGTTGCACTGTTCCTTGCACAGGTGACAATAAAATAACACTACCAACAACCATTATTGACGTTATTTTTCAACAGATGGTGAGTGGAAAAAACCCAACTCAAACATCTACCTTGATCTGCTAAATCTCGGTAGAGTGGCGAGAGAAGGAGGACTCTTCTGGCAGTGAAGAAGCGCCACAGTCACCGCTGTTCGGACCGTGTGTTGGCGTGTGTTGTACGGCGACGTGGAAATGTTCCGTCTGTCAAGTTGTTTCGTAAATATTGACATTGGAAACAGTCGGCAAGAACATGGGAATTAAAACGTAACCGTCTGCTTGTGCCCGAGTAATGACCATTGCACTCAAAGATTTCATCAAGCTAAAGCATAAAATAAGAGACTCATTTGCTACGTTGTTGTTCTCCGCTTCTTGTAAACAGAATCTTGGATGATGTTAACGTTGTGATCTCAAGTGCTCAGTTGTGATCAGAAAATCTTATGTATCATTATTAGACCGTACCGTATAAAAAACAGAGATACCAATTCCGTATATGTCGTTTTGAAGCATCTGCATTGTATGCCCATATCTAATGGATGACAAAACGTACTTGTACTGTACGAAGCATCTGAATTGGAAAAATTTACCTGTATGGCTTTTATGCTTGTTTTAATGTCAGGTCGATCGGTCACACTCTCTTCAAAATGTAATCTTTGTCATACAGTAAATTGTCCTGTAATATTCAGATCAACGTTAAAAAATAAACAGTGATGTATACACGGTCAAGTAATTATTTTATTGATATGTTTTACCTGTATTCTCGAGTAAATGTTAAATTTACTACAGCTGACCACAACATTATAAAGTGACACACGTACACGTAGCGTATTTTCTGATATTATAGTTTACATTGCTCTAATTTACAGTAGATTACGACTTAACACATATCAATACATAAGCAGCCAATACAGTCTACAAAACAGTCACGTATCTTGATTATAGTAGAGCATGTACTTTATACATACCACAGATACATCTGCACTGCTGTGAGAAGGCAATAGGTACAAGTACGTGGCGAAGTACATATCTATCTTATGATCAATGTACTATATGGAAGTGATTTAAACATTTAAACATAAGTAGCGTAAATAGTGATATTGTTGGCTTCTTTATCAAATTGTGAAATTACATCACTTGGAGATGAACGTAGTATGCATTGATAACATCAATAGCAAACGCATGACATTTGCATCAACAACACAACATGAATAGCGACTCAGTACGTAGTAGTTCACCTGAATCTTATGGCACTTTGTCTTCAAGAAAGCTCATCGGACCAAATCCGTACAAATGTATCAACTTCTATTACTGTAAAAGATCTTGTTTTTGAAATCCTCCCTGTCCCTGTACTTGCCGGTTAATTAGCATGGTGTGGTTAACGTTGTACTTTTCAAAATATCATCTTGCCCGAGGGCTATCTGTAACTGTAACTGTATCGCTATAGCTGGTATAACCGCCCTTCGGCGTATCACATCAGCTAGGCACCAATGAACTTGGTAGAGCGAGTGACATGGAGATTCAGTGTCTCAGCTTGGCACAGAGGAACGTCTTCAGGCGGAGGTGATCAACGTTGATGATGTTGCCGGGGTGTCTTTTCGGTTCACGCGAGGCTCGGTCTCCACCTTAACAGCCTGTAAGTTGAAAATGTATTACTGAATGTCTGTAGCACTAAAAATGTCACTTAAAATGTAGCACTAAATGCAACACTGAAAATGACATTCACACTAATTCTTCGACCATGCAGACACAGAAATGCGTTACAGTTAAACAAAATCGGTTCGTGGTGTTCCGTCATACATACATCTGCACATCCTCTCGTCCGCTTTCTACACCTGTTACTGGCGCACATCTCCGTTTATTTAGCTTTTCTCACCGTTTTCAGACAAAGTTAAATACAGCTCACATCACCTCACCACCATTACCATTGTTTCATCAGGGCCCTGGACATCTACCACATGTACTAGCTGCCCGGTCGGAAATGTGTTTATGCGTGCTAGATAGGCATGGTTGTGTGTTTTGTTTGTTTGTTTGTTTGTTTTTTGTTTGTTCTAGTACGGAAAGCTTACTTCAAGGCTGTAGCCCTGAGCTACAGGCTCGTATGCAGGAGGAGGTCCGCCCGGCTGATCGTCCACCTGGTCTCTCTCTCGCAGGTTTTGGATGTGGGAATATACCACCAGGATGCAGTAAATCTACGCACATAATACGTATGATAAAGAACATGACTCCAATGTAGGATACAGGCGTTTTCTTTTACACAACCAAGTTAGACCTTGCTTACATTTTGGTGTCTATCAGACACCTTCCTCAGAGCTACTCAAGCAACTGTGCCAGTTTTAGACAGGGAGGGTTCCAAGGTCATAGACAGAAAAGACAGCAGGAGAACCAGTCTGGATAGGGAAGTAGACCCCAGTGATTAACCGGGAAAGGGGGGGGGTGTACAGACTCAGCCACGTTTGGGATAGTGTTCTCGCCGCAAAAAGCGCCACCTACACCGGCTACATATAGCGGCGAGAAGCAGAACTCCAGTCAGTAGCTCCGAGGAAGGGAAGACACCAAAACGTAAGCAAGCTCAGTCTAATTACTTGGTTCTGTAACATAAAACTCCCGTATCCTATGCTTTACCAACCTGATGAAACTATTTTTCGGATGACTCCAATGTGTAAAGTATCACATTTGGCAAAAGAATATTTCAGGGTATTCCCAGTTGTGCAAGCGTAAATAGATTCTGGCTTAATATGGTCGATTTATTAATGCCTTATATGGCATGTACTGCATAGATGAGTTTGGATTTCACATACATTCTTATTAATACTATTCTACAGTACATGATCGTTAATGTAGTTATTACTGTACCCTTAATTATAACATTGTATCTGTGACTAGAATGGATAAGCACACCGATGGTACAGTATACATTGCGCGATAGAACAAAACTAAGCAGTTGATCATGAAAGCTAGCTGTACACTCACGTTAATACAAGCCACCACCAAGAACACCACCCAGACAACCGCTATGGTGATCACAATGGCCATGTTAAGGCCAAAGTCGAACAACTCAGCGTCAGGTGTAGCTATGGTGTTTGGAGGGACAGTGACGAAGTCATCCTGGTGAAACAGAGAAGTATTGTACATGTTATGTCAATCATCTCAACGGCAATCATAATTTAGATTCCAAAATACCCATGGACTCTAACCTCATGCTTACAATAACATTGGCAAATTGCATCTATTCTCTTCCTCTAATGTACACGGGCTCTAACTATTCTAAATGTCGTAGGTTCTCTCAAAAATTCGAAGACTGACTCTTGAAATGGAGGCGAATCTGCAGTTCCATTTTCCGGTAAATTCTACCATGGTTACAGTCCTTCTATCTCTGACAATGTCGTTGACAGATGAAGATCAATTGTGACTGGTACATACATGAAACTAGTACTGACCATGGCGTTTTTGGCTACAAACATGGTCACGGTTATAACGATGCACAGGAGCATGTCTCCCACCAGGTAGATGATGGCACCAATCACCCAGGCCAGACACAGGTATCTATTGTTCTAAACAACAACAAAGAAACAAACAAACAAACAAACAAACAAACAGTATGTTTATATAGCAGAGTAGTTTCCAGCTAGTATTGGTGTACAGATTGCCAATACGTTACAATTGTATCATATACAATTGTTTATTATGTTATCGTAACAATTATCACTATCATTTTACAACTCGGCACATTGGTACATGATAGTTATTTTAATTATGTGCCTCATCTTATGAATCTCTTGAAGTTAATGTTAAGGCGGAAGACTGATACACTAGGACCTCTTATAGCTTGTTCTGATATTCTAAACATGTACAACAATCAGGCAACTAACGTCCTGTTAATAACTGAAATGTTTCTAATACATACTCATGCAGTAGTTAGATGTAGACAGTAAAGTTCTGTTTTGTAGCAATATGAGCTTTGTGCCCTGTTTGATATTCCACATGCACGCACAGTAAGTTCTAGTCTTACCACCGCCACGCCCACGATGAGAAAAATGCACAAGAGTGCAAAAATCCCATCCATGAATACCCCAGTGTATTTGGCTGTAAAATACAAAAGGGAGATATTAGCAACGTACCATAACACTATAGCTGTAAAAGGCCATTAGGCCAAAGATGGTGGTTTTAGATGCTGTTACTACTGGTTGCATAGATACGAGTTTACAATCCCAGAGGACTGATGCAATACACTAAAGATCCGACAGGTTAAAGAAATTTAGGATCGTGATGTATGATTAATTGGGAAAAGGATCTCTACAAGTCACCCTAGCATTAGAAGTACGGTGTGCATGAATCCGAATGAATAACAATGGCAGTAACATCTTAAGCAACAGAATTACAAAACTTACTTTCGATTCCATTCATCGGGTAGCTGAATCTAACTCCCAGATCCAGCCCACATACTATCTGTGTAGGGAATATGAGGACCAGAACGACGGTGTTACTCATAACAAATTGTTTGTATTTCTGATTTTCATTTGTCCACAAAAATAGCCATCATTTGTTGAATAGCAAATTATTTGGCAAGAAGAAATTTCATATAAGAACCTGCTAATCTCTAAGCAGATATCCGGTATTTGTTCTTTTCCCAGGTATATTTCAAGTGTTATGTTTGCCTCTTTTATGAATCACCTCATCATTCCAGTGAAAACACGTAACACGTAGCAGCGACATGCGAATTCCAAAGCAAAGTCACACGTCTGCTTGCAGTTATTTCTGCTACATTTACAATATACACCATGTAACGTTTGCCAAATAAAGTGGCAAAACTTATTCGGTTTTGTTCTATACTTCCCCGCGCCAAAACCACAAATTTCAGTCATTTTCAACAATATATAATTTCAACAATATATACCATATAAGTTATTACCAAAAAAAGTGGCAAAACATATTCGTTTTTGTTCTATACTTTCCCGTGCCAAAACCACAAATTTCAGACGCTCCCTAGCCTGGATGCTGCTACTGTAACACCCAGCCAGATGCCTGAGAGTCGACAGTAATTGGGTCTGATCATGTACCGGCGGGTTGACGTTAAGCTGATTGGAAGTCCGGCAGGGTGTCAACATGTCTGGCATGTAATACAAGCCTCAGAGAGGGGAGACCAGAGGTGATCGGTGCGTCACACATCAATACGCCTGGCTGATAGAAGATTTAATTTTCTTCCGATCGTTTTCCAAAGGTCATATTACGAAATTCAGACCTATCTGCAAAAAGGTCTGTGCATTGACATTCAGTTATCATATGGTGATATTTCTTTCCTCATAACTACATGTACATATTGTATTGTGTTATGCTGCTGCCTCAGCTCTCAGTTTATTATGTATTATTGTGTCAAATACTGGGATATTTCTGTGCACGCATTGATTCATGAAGCCAATGTCATGACTGATAAAGACACCAGAGCCGCACGTTCAGTCAGGATTAACACCCTGCTGAGTTATAGTCGTCATCAGGAATCTTAATGAGCCCGGGGAATGTGTGGTGAGTAACCCTGAAGTGCATATCAACTAGCTCTCCCTGATAACTGCCAGCTCACTGCATGCGCTACAAGTTATATAAAATAATCAAGAATACGTTACGTGAATCGTAAGCTTCCATCTGTTAGTACAAACACTGTATCTTTTCTTTCCATACACCGCTTTCTTTCTTTCCATAATAGATATTTGAATTTAGAACGATTCGTGCGTAATTTATGATATATCATATATAGCCTATTTATATTTGAAAACATCTCTGTTTTATCTTCTAACAATAAGTGTCTAATACAGGCTTAAGCTTTGGAAAAGAAACATAATGAAGAAAAATTGAGGTAGAAACACCCCATTTTACCCTATTGCTTCCGCAGTCAGTCGTGACCAGCAAGTCTACTAATGCCGTCAACTTACTGTATGGTACATGAATATGAGCACCTACGAAGATCATACCACTAACACGTTGTAATGACAAGCTCCTGCTGGTAATGTGAACCATCGGCTGCACACGTTTGACTTTATTATATACGTGTCAGACACCCTACCTGTCATAGAATATTTTGCCAAGCGTACGTGATGTGTTTGCTGTGTGCAGCATTATCAAATCTGATGCGTGGTGTCGAGAGAGCGCTTCTTTCTCTACTAGAAGCCAAAAATATAAGGCGGGCATTACATGTCCTTGTAAAACATGACCCATGTCAGAACTACATATAACTGATTGGCATATGGGAAAATCCTAGTGACAGTTACTTTAAGTTCAGACACAGTACTTGAAATGCAGTATCATGACATTGCATTTGTTATAATATTTTTGGTGTATGCAGCATCGAATAGCGAAAAGCGGTAAATACAGTACCGATGGACTACTAGACGAACACATTTGCGTACAGTTGTGTTTATAGCATATGCAGAAACGCTATCGAAGGAGTAGCGCATTGATTTATCTTGTAGTATGTAATTGCGAACCCGCCGTTATCCAAGGCCGCGCGTTAATAACTTCTCGTCTCCCAGAGACGACTGAAAAACAGAGGTCACACACCGTGACACAACAGATCGATCACACAACCCTGTCCTGACTGTGGAGGGGTGTATTTTATTATTATTATTATTCAAAATTGTAACGCGACAATACAAGGAGTGCACTAGGTAGCAGGTATGCTGATAGCGTGTCACACCTACACAAAATGATCAAATACAACATTACATGTAACATAGAGCATAGAAACAATAGGAGGGGTGTAAGCAGGTAGTGTGTGGGATTCTTCGGCGTTGGTTCAGTATTCCTACATCTCATGATTACCATATTACATGGAGCACTGCCAGAGTCGACAAGCTTTAACATCTAACCCCATCATTACTAGCTGTGTGAGGTCTGTAACGCCCTATGTATAATTCAATCTCCAAGCAGATCTTTCGGTGGCTGCAAAGACAATATCAGATTGGCCAGGCTGTATACATTTGCCAGACAGTTACCATTTGCCACCCGAGGCTAGCGTTAAAAAGATGCCAGTACAAAAAAAAGAGAATACCTGATAAAAACGCCTAAAATACAGCCAAAATTAATCCGAAGCCTAAACATCTGCTCTGAGAGTATGTATAATCTAGGTAATGGCGTACATGTAGATCCCTCATCATCATTTTCGCCGCATGCACTGATGGGTCATCATTGCTTTCGCTTGTCTGTTATCTGATGAAACGTAGATTAGGTGGGGATGTTGTTGTTCGATAAGCACATAATCTCGGCAAAGTATTCCCGCTACACACTATTTTGTGTGTGTGGGTTGCAGTAGTGGACTGCACTCCCTGATACAAGTGGCTGGCGCAAAAAATGATAAATCATAGAAGTGTGAAACATAACTTTTTCGCACCACAAATCAAAAGGCAGAGTATATGCATTTAGAAAGAAGTACTGTCGTCAAAAACTGTCGTGAAAATGTTTGAAAGGTAGATGTCAAATCAAAATATTCCTCAAGAAATCAAGAGCACCTTACAGCCATTTTTTCCATTCCCCTTTTACTATGTGCGGCTACAGAATCATACATACGGCAAGCCCTGTGATCTAAACATTCACATCACGGTTTGGCGGGAAGGTAGATTAGAAAACTCACCAGCATCACCACAGCCGTGACCATGGAGCCTGTTCGAACGTTGCAGCACCCGCAACAAGTACTCAGTATCGCCATGGCGACGACTTTTCGCCTCAAAGACTGGAGGCAAAAATGTCGCCGGCGCAAAATTGGCAGGAAAACCAGGCCAACGGCTGAGGGAATCTCGTGGGGAGATAGATCGATGTTGGGATGGTCCATCGGCTGAGCTTTGTAGGGGTGTTGGCTTGGGGAGAAAATATTGGACTCTCATTAGCATATAATCATTGAAATATTGCCGTCTATGTGAATATAATGGCTAACGTATACACTAGTGCTTTAGTATCTTTTTTAAATGTCCATCTAAGCTTACACTCTTCAGATATGTTAACGTTTCTGTCGTATATTATTTTATTGTCATCTTTACCAGATGCATTCGTGTGTCTATCGAAGCTTTTTTTTTCATGGTGATGTTATTTGTATAACTTCCTGCATAAAATACAAGTAGTCAATCTTTGATTGGTACCTCGAAGCGAACTCCCCTGTTAGGCCACACCAAGTAAATTTTATGGATGACGTCCGCGCGCGCATTGATTTTGGCCTCTTCCTAGAAAAAAAACAAGAAAACCTGCTTCCTGTAACTATGACCAAAGAGTCACGGCAGATTGACGTGAAACCCGTAACGCGAAGAAAGTGTCTATTGACAGGACCATCCTGTCATAACAGAAAATTTTTCACTGTCCTCTGTTCCACCTGATTTATTGTTGTTTTGATGATGAATAAAAGACTTCTTGCTTATTACACTGTGTCACCTCATTCAATTTGTGTCCTAACATTTGTCGTCTCTTAGTATATTTCTAATCTAGGCATCTTGTTTTTAGGGCCCTTCTTGTTTTTTTTTCGCCCTCTCGCATTAGATTTAGGGTCTCCAAAGGACGTCATCCATAAAATTTACTTGGTGTGGCCTTATGAATTCCACACTACTGCGCTCCAACGTGTGTGATTTGTCGGGTCTGGTAGATTGCATTAATAACCTGGTATCCATACGTGTGGAACGTGGTTACAGAGCCATTCTGAATAACTCAATTTGGCGGTGTAATATACGTTGTCACAGGACGGCAATGTTCTCTAAATGGCGGGGGACAGACCAGTGAAGATAACGGTAGGGTTGGGCAGAAATCAAAGTTTACAATTGGTTGTATCAGCTACAGCAAGGACGTTTTATCATGTCCTTGGCTACAGCGGTAGGGCCGTGTCTCATTACTTTCAAGTAATGCATCGCCCTTGCTCTAAGACACTGATCCTGTAATATCAAGAATTCCAATAACTTCTCCCGAGGAAATTTGATAAAGTATTGATAAAAATGTTTAGTGTATCAGCAGAATAGAATAGGAAAAAGTCAAGAAGCTGAGGAACATTGCTGATTGGGCGACTCAGCCACATTTACGGTGCTAGCAGTTGTCATCCACCAACATGTATACCGTTTGTTTTTCTGGTATGTCTGTGTATGGGGTGCTGTTTGGCATAAAAATGTACCGGTCAACGTCATATCCCATCTGATACAGGAGCATTAGGGCTGATAATCTAATATAAATAGGAACATAAGAACTGATGAATCAAATATAGGAACATTAGGACTGATAATCTAATATAGAAACATTGGAACTGATAATTTTCACAGGGTACGAATATATTTTGGAACATGTGGAGAAGGAAAGATAGACAGGTTAATTAGCTTAAAAAGCATGTAATTTAAAGTGTTAAAGTTTTTGTTAGGAATTGACAAGGATGACCCTAAAATAAGGCACGGAATGAGAAATAATGCCATGCCACCAAAACGTGTACTGTAGAATAAGCAGTAAAAGAACAGACAGTCGTCCATATGAAATATCAAAAACTATCTATACACCCCTGTCTCCCTCTATACACACAGGGTACGATCTTACCTCAATGGTTCGTCCCTGACTATCTTTACAAAATGCACAGGCGCGACGAATACACGCGCTATTGACCATGTACAAAAACGATGGGCGTACGTAGCATACACTAATACAAAATTCGTCTTGACTAGATGCTATAGCTTTGCTTTACTGCACAGTCCTGAAAGCCTTGATAAAACAGGTCAGCTAAATTGTACTCTTTTACTTTTAACACGGCGTCACTGAAGAATCATGGCTATAATAGACCTGTGATGTACTTTTCATCGCAATGTTACAAAACGTATAATATATATAGTGAGAGATATTCTTTGTCAGGAACTAGTCAAATGACGAAATCCACAAAAACTGCCCCTGGGTCAGTCAAAGCTAAGCTTACATATCTGTGTGCTAATACTCATAATCACTGCTGTTGAAATTGATAGTATGTACATGTAGCAAGGATTAGAAGATGTGTCTGTGGATTGCTTTTTCTCTTTATGAGTAGGCGTACAGAGGCGTCCCCATGACAGGCTGAAGATCCATGCCGTAAGATACGTTTTCTGAAAAACATTTAACACGAAAAAAACATTAATGTGGATACCAGTATTAGTAAAGTAATTTCCTTGTCAACTCATACACTTATACCTTCTCCTCTAATGTACTTAACTTGCCTTCCAGTGCACTTGAGTTATATAACATACACGGGACTTATATAAGGAATACATCGGGATCACGTCGGTTAGCATTCTACGCACATAGCAGATGTAGATGTATAGCTACCGCTTGTTATTTGATCAGTGCGTTCAATCATCGAACCCCCAAGGCACAGACGTGCCCTTTATTCAGTGAACAAGAACAGCAGACACTGTTTCTAATTTTCCTGGAATATTCTGAGGACATGCTGATACTGAATGCTGCGGTAGGAGGATTGATTTTTCTAGAATATCTCACTTTTGTGGACTATCTGAATACAAAAACGCAACAGAAAAGGCACAAAGTAAAGCAACGGAATTTTTTGAATGTTTGATAGACATAACTGTTTATTATTTCCAACAAATAAAAACATACTTGGACAGTCACAAATCAGAATATCCTTTCTGCTATTTTAATTTCAGTTTTCATAAACGTTAAGCCTACCTGGATTGTGCTCGGCTGAGGACCGTGTGGCCGATAGCTCACGAAAGATACGCTCTCTGGAAAGTCTCTGCGCATACGTGTGGACAACAAGGCCGCAGTATATCTAAGATAAGAGTGACAAAGTGCAGTAATTTATTAGCATGAATACATGATTCTTTTCCACCAAGCCGATAGTGGGAATTACCACATATAGCGCTATGTTTTTGTGAGGTTGGTCCTGGAATACTAGTATGTCTGTAGTTAGGACTCATTTCGCTAGGTGCTGCTTGCACAGCAAGAGCATATTTTCTTCAGAATTTGGCTGGTCAGCTTTTCATACTTGGTTGGTAATACAAGGATCGATATATATGCATATGGTGTGGGTCTTTCCTATGATCCTATCAACAAATGTAAAATAGATGAGCGGCAATGTAAAGAATTGTACAAGCTTAAGGGCATAATGACAAGTATGATATGGAGTAGTATGATAACGTCCTAGTTCAGGGGGGGAAATGATACTATCCCATCATCCTTTGCAATACACATCCCACAACACGTGTCCCAGATGGCTGTCTGTCAGCACCAGGCATATAGTCTTGTCATGTTTCCTTTAAAAGTGCAGCAATGGCAACAATTTGACCAGTAATTTTTGGTTCTTTGAATTATCAAAGGACTCAAGTAGTGTATGAGGCTATCTGACTTTTGTAACTTACGTACAACTTCTTACATTGTGTCTTAAACATTTATGCAAACATTTGCTTCAAAAATGGTGCTCAAACTTCACCAAACTAAAGTGCTTTTCTACAAACTCTGTTGATTGGTGATATTATACATCTTCTGCATCAGAAAACCCCAAATGCACCAAAAAGCACTCATGGGAAACAGAAGAAAATATTATATTTGATATTATTTATGTAATAATCATCAACAAATGCAATTTTCTTCCGTTTCCCATGAGTGCTTTTTGGTGCATTTGGGGTTTTCTGATACACAAGATGTATAATATCACCAATCAACAGAGTTTGTAGAAAAGCACTTTAGTTTGGTGAAGTTTGAGCACCATTTTTGAAGCAAATGTTTGCATAAATGTTTAAGACACAATGTAAGAAGTTGTACATAAGTTACAAAAGTCAGATAGCCTCATACACTACTTGAGTCCTTTGATAATTTAAAGAACCAAAAATTACTGGTCAAATTGTTGCCATTGCTGCACTTTTAAAGGAAACATGACAAGACTATATGCCTGGTGCTGACAGTCAGCCATCTGGGACACGTGTTGTGGGATGTGTATTGCAAAGGATGATGGGATAGTATCATTTCCCCCCCTGGTCCTAGTTAGTACAACCGGTTAACCATAAGAAAGAGAGGACCGTACCAACAGAAGTAGCTCTGATACCACCAGTATCCAAGTTGCAATCATACCGGCGTGGACGTTAGAAATTGGCCCTGCATCCTTGGCAATAGCACCTTCCTGCAACAACATATGTTTAGAAACTAATCATAAGTACTATTTGTGTTAAATTCTTGATTGAATTGTCAAGTTGTCGTTTACGGCACGGTCACATTTGCAAGCCGGAGCCCGCCCGGGTTGTTTGCGTGAGAGAAAAATAAACAATTTGTATCAAGGGTATACACAAATAGTGCTTATAGTTAATTTTCTAAAACTTTTTTTGTGTTTTGCTATCTTATATCATAATTTTCGTTCCAAACGACTGTCCGGCCGGGCCCCGGGTTGGGAAATGTGACCGCGCCTTTATGCAGACAGCCCATTCGGGCCCCGGTTCGGAAATGTGACCTTAGCATTACCAAACATATTTTAGTTAGCTGCCGAGTCTCTTTTGTCCTCTACAGAAGAGTTACGTACCGAGTTGATCAGGTCTATATCCTGGTCTGTAGTCAGGACAGCCACTGACATGTTCGCGCATGCCCAGAGCGCCATGCCCGCCACCCAGGCGAAACACAGGCTTGCATTTTTCTGAAATCACATGAAAACTCGTAAATCTTTCAATAGTTAATAACAACTGTCCACGATATCACAATATATCTGTTTATATAATATTTTGCAGTCTATTTCACTACTTTACTACAGACTTTGCATGCGTTCGCAGTTGAATATGAATAACTAGTAAAACGTTTACTAGAAATCATAAATCATAGATGAAAGTCGTAGATCTACATTTTGCTTTTGCCTCTATGTTCAGTCACATACCGTACTAGCCGTGTTATTTTAGGTAAATTGATCATAACAAAATAGGCATCAAGCAAGGAACAATAATAGGAAGTAAAAGAATTGTTTCGTGTTACTGTTAGCAGTTTTGTACCCCCGTTTACCAAAAATATCATGATGACGTAACGGGAGTCTTACTCTGACCACGCCCAGGAACAGCAGGTTGCAGAGCAGAAGTAGCGCGACATTCAGAGCTAACCCCACGTACGTCAGACCTGGAACAACAGAGAATGGCGCTAGTCAGATATCACTGCCATCCAAACATTACTAGTTCAAGCATCAGGCTCTAAACATTCAACAGAGTACGGTCAGATTAGGTTATGTTGTCGTCTGCGTCGGCGTTTGAGCTTGAAAGGCCTAAAACGGCGGGTGGAGTCAAGAGCTACAACTTAGTACAAGCATTTTCAATTATTTTGCTCTCATTACTGATAGCGGAGTGTCATGCCATGATACTTCGCCGTCCTTTATGACATTAAAACTTTATCGAAAAGTTTTGAAAGCTCATTTTCTGTTTCAGACATTGTAGTCAATGAGGTAGTGGTGGGCTGTTAGCATGTCACGTAAACCAATGATGACAATGGAGCACTAGAAATTGGCCCAAACCTCGCTCCACGGTTACATCTTGGAAGCTTTTCATAGAAGTTTAAAATTCAAGACAAAATTGCGAATATAAACTTACTGTTATCGTAAGTGTATCCGGTGAGATAAGACAGGTTTGCAAGCTTTGCGATGCACAAGATGATCCCAATCAAGGCAAATATCTGTGGTTAAAAAACATACACACAGAGTAGGTAAAATAATATGTATACAGATCCAGAACTTAAGGGTTTTCAACATCCAACAACGTTAGAGCGTGTACCGGCACGCAATGGTGTAGGTATATAAAGTTTAAGAGAAATGTATTTTATGTTGTATTTTAGTCTGTAACTAGAGTTACACGACTATAACAGTTTTTACTACAATTAGGACTATATATTGGTCTAAATTATCAATTGATTGAATTGTAATTGGAGGAGGCAATCTTGTTCGACCCACAACTAATGCTGGAGACATACAAATTGAAAACGAGTCAACCCAAACTTGTGCTCTGTGATTATGATAATCCTGTAGCTTGAAGTACTTAGTATGATACAATGTCGAGTGATCAATAAGATCAGCTATTTAAGACAACACACTTACCGAGTACCCTGCAGCTGTCGCCATGCAGCCAACAGGGATGGTCCACAGGCCACAACAGCGGCTGATCTGTACCATGGTGGGTAATGTGGGAGGGGGGCAGCTTCAAATAGTCAACGATATGTCAGGATCCTTTCTGTACAGATTATGAAAACATATGTATCAATTCAAAAATCAAATAGTTCATGTTGTGTGAGATCATCTGTGAAACTACAACGTAACTTGTCCTGGGGAGCCCAACAATTGTTGTTTTGCACATACAGTACCCTCTATATCACTCTGTATAGGTACGATATGGGAGTATTTCTCATACAACGCATCACACTGCAATGAAACGCAATGAATGCGGAAGTACTAGTAACTATGCCACCGCAGGGCAAAGAACAGTTGGGGGTCCAAGACCTAATCAAGACATGAAATTACATTGAAAAATACTGTGTAAAAATGCCACCAGGACAAGGGTTAAATTTCATGGACAAAACTCTTCAAAATAATGAAAAGTGGTTTGATACGTTAGACCACTGAGGCGTGCGACCGGATATAAAAAAGAAACAATACTTTAGCTGCTTTGGGTTGACACATGTTCTATAATGACCCGAAAGAAAAGGAAGCAAAATTGTGGCTGTGGCAATCTAAAAAATCGCTCACCTACGTCCAACAAGTGGATTACATATGGATATTGAAACTCCCCATGCACGCCCCCATGTTGTACGTGTGTGGCTTGACAACTATCCTTTGTCTGTGTCCAGTCGCCATATCCTCTAAAGCCCTACCTACACGCAGGTGACAACATACAATCACACAAAAATACCTAGGTTCCCGTGCCATTTTGTAGCTGCCTCATACTAGACAGTGACACACGAACACAGTATTTTCATGTTTAGAAATGTTTTATCTCTAAACCTGCACAGGGATTGTAAACAAGACCTGTCCTCAATTATATTTAATTACTCGGAAATGTCGAAAACTGGTCTGACTAGTTTGTCATTGGGCAAACATGCAAATGATCAAGGTGTGCATGCAGGCCGATCTGTAACGTCATAGGCCATTCAAACGTTACTATTTGTAATTTTATGATAATACTTAACTTAGCCATTTGTTATTTCTACGTTCCTTCTTATTTGTAGAAGTGGCATCCATGCGCCATAACACAGTGTACCATTACACTACGTGAAAAGTAAGAACGAACAGCCATGTTTTGAAAACAAGTGAACCGTAAAGAAATGAAGGACTCTAAACACACAACCGTGTTTCGTTAGATCACGGAATTGGGGAGGGGGGCACCTGTTACATCTTTATTTTACTGGTCAACTGGTCTCTTAAAGTACGATTTAACACGTTAATCCACTTCCAGATGGTGTTGTGAGACTGTTGTAATTGGTAATCGGTAAAGTTATACACAACAACGGCGTAGTACATTATTCTCAGTTAATACCGAGTGTAGCTACTGTAGTATAGTCGTTGGAAAGGGATTCAGAAACGTATTTTGAATGTGTTGAGATCATAAAGTTTACTATTTATTGTGCTTTACGGAGTAGCACATAGTATTAGGTGTAACAGGTGTCTAATACAACACCAAGAGCCAGAAAATCTATACTGTCCTTGCTGTCATTGACGTCACACAAGGAAACAACGAGTCACATAATCCTTGTATAAGATAACTAATTGTCTATTTCTGAACTATTAGTATTACTAGTGAAGACAATTTTCTATGAACACCTTAGCATCTTCAAAATAACTCAGCATAGAGTCACAAGTCAGAGATTGTGTATTTGAACGAGTAGCAACGAGGACGGATTGACCAATCGTCAAAACAGTTGATAATGTAAAATAATTCTGCAGATATTTGAGTGAGCTGTATGAATTATGTTTTCACTATACCATACATAGCTTGTTTACGTGTACTCACCGACGATCTAAAGCCCTGTAGCTGTCAGAAGTCCGGATCGCCGAAGTATAAAGTAGAGGCTGTCATAAATGTCGTACACCGCGCTTACAAAGATCTGAGGCTCACCAAGGGGTTTTTGTAAAACCGTGTTGAGAAATCCCAATCCAAACTTCTTGTTACACACAATGCTTTAAAAGTCAATAAACAAGGCCTACCGTAGATACAGTCTGTTCCACATTGCAAAAGTCTTTAGGCTTTAGCCATCTAGTTTATTGCAATTTCACATTTACATTTTGTTTATACCGTGCGATATACATATGAATGTCTAAACTGGCTTTGTTATATCCACACTATACAGGGTTTGTTGAATCTTCGAACTGGGAGTATGGCGGGGGGATGTTTTCTTCACGGAGTTTCTGTGCATGCGAGTACACCACGACGGCGCAGTAGATCTGTGCAGATGGACAAAGTACAAACGGTGTCGTAAGTAAACAACAAATCGTATCCATGGAAACATGTAAAAGTTGTTAAAATTAATAGCAATCGTTATATCATACGTAGAACTGTGCTGAAGATATGCTTTACACTTGAACAGGCATGGCAAAAACATGGTTTTCAAAGACGGAAAAGTTAAACAATCACTAGTCTACACTTGAACAGGCGTGGCAAAACATTCTTTCAGAGAAGGAAAAGCTAAACAATCACAGTCTACACTTGAACAGGCATGACAAAAACGTTTTTCAGAGAAGGAAAAGCTAAACGATCACAGTCTGTACTTGGATATATAATTATGTTAGGAAGAATATTAAAAATGCCACATTATCTACATCTTTCAATATGTATAACGTTAACATGATGGATATCAAAAGAAAAATGTGTATAACAGACCAACAGGATGTACTCCAGTGCTATGATCGCCCACATGAGACTTAGAGCGGTTGCCAGAGCAGGCCCGGTCACGGTTTGAACAGAGTTGACGGCTGTTTTCTGTAAATACAAACGTACATGTAACAAAGAATGTAGACATCAAAGTGGACTTTTGTCACAATATATAGGATAGTTTGAACTCCAAGCTTCTCTAGATATTGTGACAAAAGTGCTCGCTCCAAATGTGACGTACATATACTGACAATATCTTAGACATTTGCCAATACGTTTGCACATTTCGATGAAACCAATTATACTGATGGTCATGGGGCGGCTTTTGCTGTCAAATGGTACTTTCTACATCCTGACGCTCTCCTCTCTTTAAGTACCATTTAGTCATCTCTGACTCCCTTTACCAGGAGTTCGCACTTCTATTTTGCTAGATACACACACAATATGTAATGGTCAGTGCTAACCTTTCTGATATAGATAGTGGCCACTTCAGCAAAGACGATGGTCATAGCTGACCAGACGACCGCTCCAACAACCCATATCAGACACAGGATATAGTTGCTCTGTTTAGAGAATTAAATCTAAGAATTAAAATAATATATTCACTGCAAACTCACGCATAAGGCCTAATCGCATACCGACAATTGGTGAATAATAATTGAGAAGCTGTGTGTTGGAATTGTCGTTGAAATACCATGTAGATGATATCATTTCGTATCATCATAGGTGCTACTCAATTACGTCTCAATCAAAATCTTATGAAAATAATGTCGAAAACATGTGTTGATCCCTTATTTGATAGAATGGGTTGCACATGTGTAGCTCTATGCCATTTCTCGTTAAGATGGAAGTATCTTCCACAACGCATCCCCACCGAACGTTTAGAAGGCATACCTTTAATACTCCTATGAGGAGGAGTATACACAGGATGACTAACAGTCCATCAGCTGTGATGCGACCGTACTTTGCGGCTTCTGGAGGTTTTCAAGGTATGAGTGAAACAAATCATTATAATTGTGATGAAAGGATATACCATAAAATACATGCATATAATATTGACATCAGCACGATCCAGATTTTTTTTCACTTCATACATGTATTTGTGACTGTAAATGTTTGTGAAGACACAGAAAATATAGAAAAACGAACATACCTCCCCCTGCGCTAGCCAGACCAATTAATGATAGAACAATGTTGAGGATCCCTATAACCTGTAAATAGGGGTAGAGAATGAGGTCATGACCAAAAATTGATCGGGCCATGAAAAGGGAACCAAACGTAATTTCATTGTATGAAACTGTTATAAAACTTTGTTGCTCTTATTCACAAATCCATTAAGACGAAATTTCAAAAACAAAGGTTATTTTATATAAAGAACTTAGAAAAGTATTGTCTACATATTCTACATGTTTTGCAAAGTTATTGTCCTAGATTTTGAGATAACGTTCAGAATGCATGATATTCGAACCTGATTATCAGAACACTTACCATGTATGTGATTGCAATGTACAGACTGCCAGACCGCAGGCCAAAGCACTCACAGCAGTTGTTCACTCTTAATGTTACCATGATGCGGGACCCTCATCAGATTCGGGAGTTTCGGTCTCAAAATACTGTTTGCATGATTCTGAAAAGTACAGGTGTTATGATAACACTATTCATTTTTATGTAATTGTTATTCAATACAACAGATACCATACCAAATATATATGATGTGTGATCGTCTGCACCCGGATCTAAAAACGTCAACTTATTACTCAAAATCTTGGGATCGGACGACCGTTGCTTTATCCATGAGGGTCAATTCTAGCCATAGCACCGCCACGACCTTTGAACTGCTCATTGTATCTAGTCATTACACCATTTTAGCACGGTAGTTGTCTGTCTGCCCAACATCACATCTTGGCGTCAACAGGATTGGGCATGCATATCTATGGCTTAGATTTCTAAAATGGTTACTACACTAAGTGAAGAAGTTTCGACGTAATACCAATGACAAAGAAGACGAAATTCTTACTTCTGTTGACGAGTCATGTAGACGGTAAGATGGCTGCCAGCTGTACCGTGCAGGTAAACATGTATAAAACACGAAAACTGGTAGTACTGCTTACAAGGTGCCGCCAGGCGTGTTCAGGTCAGACTGACGGTACAGTCAAAACAACGCCCAACACACCCGGTTTGTTATGGCCCAAACATATATTGTATGTTGTATGTTCAAAACGTTCTAGAACCTTTTATGTTTGAACGTTTGGTTTGATTTAGTGTTTAGTAGTAGCCACATACTATTTTGTTACCCATCCTGTTGTCCATTATTTATTTTCATGTTACTTGAAATTATATATACATTGTACATGTATATATATATATATATATATATATATATATATATATATATATATATATATATATATATATATAGCATACGGGCAGCAACTTGCAATAAATTTTCGATTACATGGGTTGGTGTTGGTAGAATACCAGCAGAATTGCAGAAGTATTACTCGTGTTGCTCGTTTCTCGAATCTTTTTTTAATTGCTCACAGATCGGCGGTGGCTTGAAAGAAGAACATGATCATAAATGATGCCGAGTGTCTAGTTGTTGCGCTTTTGCAAGCAAGGATAACGAAATAGATTTACCGTACGGTTAACTCCGAGAAAACCGTATTTAATTTACATTTCGGAATTCGGATATTATTCCTGTACACAGCAAAATGACAAAGAATGCTACACCGACAAACTAGTCTTTATTTTGTAGAAAAGTCAACCAGAAAAGATACATCTGCACACATTCCAAAAGCCAAAACGAGTGAAGTCTAGAAAAGTCTAAAGCCAGAAGGGCTCATTTTACTCAACACAAGCAGAGTTCTGGATAATGAGTACACCAAGCTTCTAAATTTAAACTCCTGACAAAAGAAACATACAGACTTCGGGAGTTCGGGTCATGATTGATAAACCTTAGTGTGCAAATGAAGACAGCAGGTTGGTACATGGAGTTGTCTTTGCGCAAGCATGATCTGACATTTTTTATGGTAACTACCACCGGTACCAATCTCACCTTTTTAACCTTTAAGTACAAGTAACCCTAATGTATACAAAGCTGATTCTCTTAAACACCCCCGTGCGATAATCTCTATCTCCATTGTTTAACTTTGTCATGTCTAGTCACTCCTCGTTGGGGCGTGTGCAAACAGTAATAATCAAATGAACAACTAAATATAAAGAAGCTACAGAGTTGACAATTTGAAGTCTTGGGTACAATATGACACAATGGTCGGTGTGTTGATAGTCCGGCATGTGCCCTCTCTGGTCTCCATCCTGCAAATATTTCAAGAAAAAATATTATCAACAACAGAATTCTTTGTAGAGCAGAATCATGTTAGAACTGGCCAAGCACAAATAACATTGACAGATCGAGAGTATTTTCCAATTTCCTTTTCTTTCTGATCTGCTCTTTTCAACATGCATTTGGCATTCTGACCAAGTACTGATTTTGTGGTTAAAATTTCATTTCAATGTATATGATACATCATCATTATAATATAATACAAAGACGTTAGTATATTCATTATTTTATTAGGAAAACATGAACCATTTTCCTTTCCAGAACGTAACATGGCGGATTCGTGTCAGCAATTTGGTGGAGACCACTTTCTTTATTCTACGCAATGATATCTTGTTCATGGTGTTTGAAACTTTGAAGACATGTGTTTTTTAGCATATATGTCAACAATATAACTGTTCTATATACCAGTGATTAGATAGCCTTTGGTCCCCCGAACTGGTTGTAAGGTGGGGGACTGCCGCCACCCTCACGCAGGTTCTGGGCATGGGAGTACACCACGATGGCGCTGTAGATCTGTGAAACAGATAAAACAGGCACAAAACTTAACATACATAAAACTTCGATCATTTTCAGAATTTTACAAAGGTCTGTAGAGGTGTATCTGTCAGGAAATATTAAAAACTGTGGTCAGAAGCTAATAATTACAATTCTGTGGCAAAAAATAGTTGAACTTACCACCAGACAGACTTCCAGCGCCACAATGGCCCACATGATACCCAGGATCAGAGCAACAGCAGCTCCAGCGGCAGCCGGGGGCACAGTAGGGAGGTCAGGATCAAGACCCTAGCATAAAGCATCGTACACTTAGTAACTGAACCCGATGTAAGTGTAAGGCCTGATGTAAGTCAACAGTCCGATGTACGTTTAAGAGTGATGTACATGTTATTACCGTGTACCGAGTCACTGGGAATTGCGGAACTGTGTCGTCAATGCACAACATTTCAATCGGCTAAAAAAAATACGTCTGGGACCCGATCATTTACTACTATTAGCCGAAATGTGAGCACTTAATGAAATGTTGTCTGACAGCCATTAACAAAACCTACATCCACTAATGATAGCCACTAATGATCAGCGGTACAGATTGTAGGCTATAGTTCTTTACTTGTAGAAACAATACGTACCCCGTGCTCAGCGATATTGGCGGCGATACCGACCATCACAGAGACCACAACAGCTATGATGGTTGTAAGCACGGACCAGACGATGGCACCAACCACCCACACCATGCACAGGATGTGGTTGTCCTGTATTCAGAAAAACAAAAACAATTTATAAGATATAACGTTACATTTAAAAACATTCTTTGTGTGGAACTGAACGTTCTACACGACAAATTGGGTACTTTTACCATTATTTCTTTCAATTTTAAGTGAGTATGATTTCCACAAACCGACTGCTATATATATGCCCCCTAATAGCATGACAAGAATAGTTGAATAAGATAGAATAGATTAGAATAGCAGTTACATTGTTCCTATTACCTGTTCACATGTTGCATATTTACTTTTTTTTTATCCTGTATGTATACCAACGTTATTAGATTTAAGTAGAGATAGTAGGTTCGATAAGTATATCGTACACGTAGAAGTTCCTGTCAGCAAATAGTCTTATACATGTATCACCACATTTTCTTGTCAATGTCTGTATGCAATTAGCCCTCGGGCAGGAATTTGCAATAAACAACTTCTGTTATATAGATAGATAGAAGGGCAATCCTTGTCAACTCTGAAATGCAAGCAGTTTCAAGTACTGTCTCTTGGTTGTCCGTCGATGTCAACGAAGACTTCTAAGTACTGTACATTACTGTAAATAACTTTATTCAGACATCTTGTTACACATACTGTAAACAATACGTGTGGCAGATTAAAATGCACAACTTACATTGCGTTCACATTTTATCCAAATATTGATAATCTCATGCTGACAAGAAAAATTCAAGAACACGAACAAACCATGAAAGCTCCAATGATGAGGAGGATGCACAGGACAACCATAATGGCGTCAAGGGAGACGCCGATGTACGTGGCAACTGTAGGAATAAAATATAGTCAAGACTGAACAATGGTTCCATATACCTGGGTAGTTCAGACTTTCATACTCTGAGACGTTTTAGCGTTTACATTATGTAGCAATGCTGCATGCAAACGTTCATTGAAAAAAATAACGTACAACGATGAAAGTAAGTAAACATGCTATCTTTTGTCAACAACTGAGCCACAAAGTGAACTGTTTATACAAGGTAACTTGATAAGATATTTGGCCTGTCAAATTTTCTAAAGTAAAGAAATAATTATGGAGAAACTTGCCTCCCTTAGCGCCAACCACTCCGGCGATGCCCAGCGCCATGTTCAGGATAGCCAGGATCTGGACAAATAGAATACAAGCAGATTAACAAAAACTATCATATTGAAGATGTAACAACCGTTGGCTTTTGTATTTGTTTTACGGGACTGGTACATTTTGCATGCAAGCGACAGCTAACACTAACAGAACGGTTTCCCCCCAAAAAAGAGCTATACATTTATATGTACGATTAGCATGACATTTTTTGGACATGAGGTGTGTACTATTATGTCCAATTATGTCGTGTAGTACGTGAGAGGGACTGTACGATCATTACTTACCAGGTACACGATGGAGACGGCGATTGTGCCGGACTTGAGGTCACAGCATCCGCAACAGTTGTTTACACGCACCATGGTGACAATCAGATCAAACGCGGCGCGACAGGGTTAGATAAATCTGAAAATACAAAGTACAAATTTAAGAATTCGTTTGTGTAGCCATCTATAATAGAAATTCTTATGCTATACAGGGACTAAAAATCCTCAATGTTAATGTTAATATTATGCGTCTTTTGTCATATGTGCTATGGTTAAAAGCAACCTTTCTTTATGAATGTTGTGCATTTTTCTGTTGTTGGGCAGCGAAACCTTCTCTCTTCGGCAAAACTTCCTCGGCGACGCAAAACCGTCCCTCCGCGGCATAACTCGCGTCGATCACCAAAAAAAATAATAATAATAACGCCACCGCCCTACAAGTCTGCGAAGGAGGCTACATTTTTCTTGTCTTTTCATATCACTTCTCACACCCAGTACTTCCGTTTTCACAAAGTTAATTATCGCAGTGGCATATCAGTGACTGCACTACAACAGCTAGTTCCGCCCTCTACCATGTCTACGGCTTGAAGGGCCAGGCCTTGCCAAAAACCCTGTTGTGCACAGTGTGATGTCACGTGACAAATTTATCTTTCTCTTTCGAACATGTACAATTCCACTTTCCAC